TTTGCGGGCTGGAAAAAGGGCACATGGCACGACTTGTCCAGGCCTATGGTTCGCCCCAATCCTAGTGCATTTACGACTGCAATATGGGGATGCGCTTGGGGTTGACCGTCCCGGTCACGAGGTCATAAGGTGTGGAGGAGGTGAAGAACGAATTCGGCCGATTTCACAGCGAGAAAGGGGATTAGTCTGGACTTTGGAGACGAGTGTTGTCGGGCAGTCCTTGTTTGACTGACTCCTTCCCTCCCAAGAAACTGGGATTGTTGTTATCGAGCCCGAGTTGAAGACAGGGGGTTTGCTGTTCATCAAGCGTCGAAAATGGTAGGGGGAGAGGGGTGCACCGTTATTCTTTGCGGAGAGAGAAGGGTGATAACGGTTTTGGGTTCTTGAAGGGGCACACTTGTCAGCCTCAAAAATAAATACAATGTATGAATAATTCGTAAAAAGCAGCCACATGATATGGCTGCAACCCCAGGACCGGCAGGCAATTGTGATCCTTGAATACTTTGCCAAACTTTGGCAAAGCTTGGCCCCCCCTCTTCCCCGTATCCGTTGCTGCGGTAGAAGCGAGCTGTCATGCCCATCTTCAGCGGCTCTTGCAAGCCTTTTGTGGGGTAACTTTGCCAGAAGGTATCGGGCCATAGCCGACATCCCGAGGGAATTCGTTGGGTCATTTACGGCGTCGCTTGATACCTTTCCAGGCTGAATGAAGACTGCCGGCTCTTTGGATGATTTCCCGGGATGAGAGCGTAGAGTTGACTAGTGCAAGTTGGTCCTTCAAAGAGCCTTGCAACCTACCTGGACAACATTATCTGATCGACGGACGCAATGGCAGCAGTGGGAAGAGCACACCATACGCAGGTAGATTGGAAAGCAGAGCCTCAGCCACCACTAATCATCCCGTTTGAAAATCATGCAAGACCTTAAAGAGGGAAGCTGGAGCCACCGGTCCAGACCCCGGGGCCCTCGCCGCATGAAGCACCTCCTCCTCGTCGAACGCGTACCTGCATGCGCATGACGAAAGTCGCGCGATACAAAAGGGTGGAGGGCGGACGTGAAGGAGGGGGGTGCTCTGCAGTGGAGTCATGTTTTCCGTCGTCCCAAGTTGAGAGCATCACAGGATATACGTAAGACCCGGGGAAATACGTGTTGCTGGGAGCGCATAGAGTTGGAGGGGACCCGGCGAGTCACCTGCAACTTACTTTTAATCCCAAGTTATTCCAACCGAGAGTTCGTCGGTGTATGGCTCGTAGAAATCTCGCATTAATAGATTCGGATGAGAGGCCCGGCTGGGAGGAGGGTGGAAATCGTGATCTGAAGGAAGATTCAGAGAGGGAGGGGGGATGTTGAGCGAGGTTCTGGGGACCCCATGACAGAAGCTCTGTATTCGGGACGGACTTGACCTTATTTTTGGCTCTTTGGCTCTCATACGGACACGTCTTTTTCATATTATAGAGGTTGCAGAGGACCCTGCGGGCTTAGGTTGCTGATTCATTGCACAGGAAGCTTGGGGCAACTTCACATGTCGAAGATCAACAGCTTCCTGCTGCTTTCCCTACTGCAGGACTTGCGACGTTGATTGTTTGTTTGAGGAGTCGGGAAAGGTATTCACATGCAATCCCTTGACACGTACAAGTCAACTCGATGATGGCATTATTGGGCGGTCACAAACTTGGGATATCGATGAAGCGGGATTTAGCCAATCGACTCATGATATCGATTGCCGCAAGAAGACTCAAGCGGCGAGCAGCAGGTCTGGGATCTGTATGCCTCATATCACGACATGGTCGGCTTGAGTCGCGCATACGAAGGGCGTGTGTTCCTGAGCCTCTAAATTAACTTGACGAATCTGGGGTATATGGGGGGGGGGGGGAAGCCTGGGGCAAACAGCCAAGCGCACCAAGACGAATTCGTAGCTTACAGTTACACAAGCACGGCAATGACTTATTGATACCACACGATACAGCTAACAGCAGGTCAGACAAGCTAACGGTAGGTAGTGGAAAGTCAAACTATTCAAATTTGAGACGGACCTCAGAGTCATTGAAATCCTTCACCACTACCGCCAACGAGAAACTCAACGATGAGACCATTGAAGGGTTCGCCAGATCAACAAGACACATGGTCACATCTAGGTGGCAACCAAGAATCCGGGGAGACATTCCCGGTCAGCGCGACTGAGCCGCACGGCATGGCGGCCAGATCGTCCGCTGTCCGCGCCGTCCAACCAAGACACATACACGCGAAGTCCTAGATTGACAAGTTCGCGCCCTCCCGGGGGAGAGGCAAGGACTTGTAGGGTGGGTTCTCGGAGAGGCTGCCGACGCAAGCCGGAGCGCGAATCAATCTTACACGCGCCGGAACCCCGGGGCAGCTACCCCGAGGACCTGGTGATGCGCCGGAAGAACGCCAGAGCGTCAGACCGGTGCTGATTTCTTCCTTCTGCCCAAATGAAGTAGAAGAATGTCTCGCGTGGCTTGTAAAGTATGTGGTGACGATATTGAGTCTCATTCGCTATTAGGCGTTCGCGCTATTGTAGCTCCTGTGACCGGTACCATTTCGACACTAGGGGAAGAACTTCCCGGTGGTAAGGCGGACTAGTCGTGCAATCTAGGCCCGAGGCCAAATCTTTGCGTTCGTCCTTGATCTTCATCGCATGGTGCTAAAGAGTTGCTGCTAATGTGAGCCGAGTTTGAGTACGTGATGAGAACTGCTAACTAGGAAAACATGGGAAAGGTTCCCCGGGGAGCTGTGTTGGGGCTAAGAGGCGAGCTATCAGATCTCTATTTCCCTCGCGGGCGAGCTTCCGGGCGCTGAAAGTCAAAATGCGAACCCACGAACTAGAACGGCTCACTAAGGATGCTGATGATGAACGTTGGTGCCCCGTTGCTTCAGGAAGAGACATGCCACACAAAGGGGACGTTTTCAGGCCTAATCCGGTCTGTAATGTTAAGTCAACCGCGAAGATCACATTGAGGTTTGTTGACCGAAATGGAGTCTTTCGTTATATCCGCCCCTTGCTCACCGGTGAGCGGTCTACTGTAGTGTCATCACATGTTTGCCAAAAAGCTGCTTGCGTCTTGCCAAAGTCCCAAAGTCTCCGGCCCTGTCCCTTTCCATCCACAGGACTTCCCCGCAGATTCTCACATCCAGCCGAGCCTTTCACGTCGCGCCAGTTCTCTCTCTCTCCCTACCGAACTTGCATGGCGCGTCCTCCCAAGTTTGCCTCCCTAGTCTGTTCCTACAAGGGGCACAAGGGGCCATCATAGGGGGGCCGGGGACATTGCAGAAGGATTCAGGGTATCACATCTGATCTGATCTTTTTCTCTTGCCCCCCCCCCCCCTTTCCCCGGGGCCGGTCTCGTGCGAGAAAAGGATGCAGAGGAGCAGAGGAAGATATGCCCAAACAGAGAAGCACGGACCCGGACTCCGGAAGCGGTGTTAGCGCGAGCTGTAGTCTGTAGATCCAGCGGGTTGGGTTCTCCGGGGAACGTCCTCCCGGTGGCCCCCGACGAGCCGGTGAACCTTACCCCGGGAGAAATACGCGATTCTGATTTGTGGGCTTTCTTCAACACCATGAATGGAGGGGAAGGGGAAATGTGCTATTCGGCTTCTCTTTTCGCAAAGCGACTTTGGGAACGTGGCTTTTTCTCCTCTTTCTCTCGTGATGTCTCTTTATATTTTGTTCTCGACGTGAGACATGGGGGCTTTCCAACAAGATGGGTGTTTTGATGCAAGGTAGGGAATAGAACAGAACTAATTTGGCTGGTGCGGATGGGCGGTCGTGGAGGACGATGGTGGCGTTGGACGTTCTTCAAGAGGGTGTACAGAATCGGGAAGATACCTGGCGTGCCTGGGTGAGCCGGGGTACAGCACTTAGGATATTGCAATATTTTCTATCACAACTTCTTTTTTATTTTGGGGAAACTCTTATTTTATTTTCTTATTTTCTATTGTTATTCTACCCTTGGTGTACTTGGGAGGAAAACAGTGATATTCCATTTCCAATAGTAGATCCGTCACAAGTCATACCTCAGCCCCCCTAAAACAAAAATGTGATGGTGGTAAGAAGCGCTTACCTCTCAACCAACCGCGCCACCATTCACAACTCTTCAGCCCTCTCTCTCCATTCGCCGTGCCCATTTTACCCCAATCAAAACTCGCATATCAACACTCATGTGACGGATTAGGACAAGAATAACGTCCAATCGCAAGGGCGATAAATCGAGAAATGATTCCCATCACATCTTTTGCCCAGCCACACACAACTCGCACATAAGCGACCGTTATTGCACAATTGTAATTTGTGCACAGCGAATGTTATCCGCCCGTGTGCCGCCCGAGGGGTGTCGTCGTCGGATCGGCGCTTGCGTGGGGTTCCCGGAGGGAGGGCCGGCAGGCGGCAGTTGAAATGTTCATCACCGTTGCGGTTTTGGTGGTTATGAGGGTGTGCGGGAACCGCTTTTGATGTTTGATGGGGGTTGCTATTGGCGTTTGAGGATTTGGTGTTTCTTGGTTTGATTCTTTTTCGTATTGGCGAGGCGAGTTTATGGTCAATATGGGGGAAAGTATCTAGACATCTCAAACATGGAAGGGCGGTTCCAAGTGTTAGTAGGGAGGTGAATTGAGACCCTGCTTGTATGTACCTGCTCTTTCGAAAGACAAAAGAAGTACATTTGAAAAGTCGTGATTTGGACAAGAGGCCGATGAATAGTACGATATTGATATCTGGGGGTGGAAAAGGCAAGAAAACATCAGGAGCTGACCGAGGTTCGAAAGCTGGAGTCCCGAAGAGTACGGAGCATCACGTACTAGTCAGCACTTCACGGCTTTCACCCCTCGGTCACCAGACCCGATACTTGTTGTGAGGGAAAGAGGACACCGAGCATCTCACAAGGCCTGCGTGTTCTGGTACCACGATGTTTATTTAGTGATGGAAACTGCGTCTTCCTATCAGGAAGCTGAATCATCCCAACACCAACACGGCCCATCGTGCATCCACCTTAGTCCTTCTTCGCAGCAGCAGCCGCACCACCACCGACCCTCTTAAACTTCCTCGGGTCCTTACGACTCATCAACTTACGGTCCCGCGTACCCTTACCGCCCTCCCAGAACCCCTTGCCCTTCCGCCCAATGACGCTCCGGCCGCAGAACCCGCACGCCTCGGGCGAATACCGCTGCTCGCGACTGCACCACCCGCACACCATCCGGTTCGCCCACTCGTTGACGTGGTTCTCCGCCTCGTCGTGGCACCGATCGCACGGGTGCACTTTCGCACAGCACGAGAACCGGAACCAGCGGTAGCTCTTGCGGTAGTGCGCGCAGGCGCCGCGGTCCGGGAGCGGGGTGCCCGCGTGGAGACCGAGTTTCTCGGCCTTCTTCACGGGTCCCGTCGTCGGGGCCGCGAGCCCCCCCGCGGAGAGCGCCAAGAACTTGACGGTGGGGATCTTGAATGTGAATTTGCCGTGGCAGGCGCGGCAGACGTTCGTGACGGCGTCGCCGCGGACGGCGACGAGCCCCTGGCTTGCGGTGGAGCATTTGGCGCAGACGGGGACGAAGGTGCTGGGGAGCATGTCGGCGACGGTGCAGCCCGTGAGGTCGACGAAGCCGGCGCGGGTGGAGTTTGCGTGGACGAGCGTCTGGCGGAACTGCGCTGCTAGGCCGGCGGCGCATTTGCGGCAGGTGGAGGTCTGGGGGACCTCGTGCTTGAGGCCGGTGATCTCGTTGATGGTCTTGCAGCGCGAGCATTTGACGCTCAGGTTGAGGATGGAGACCTGGAAGAGCTCGATGCTGTGGAGCTCGATGGTCGGGAAGGAGATGGATGTGCCCCTTTCCGGGGTGAGGCCGGAGGAGAGGCTGGGTGGTTCTGCGTCGAGGTCGGCGCCGCCTTCGTCCGAGTCGTCTTCTGAATCGTAGCTGTCTGACGAATCTGTGTTGTCTTCACTGGCGCCGGGACGGCTCCATTCCGGTGGACGCGGGATAACTTTGATATGGCTGCGGTCATTGTCATCCATGGCCGGTGCCTTTGCCTTGGAATCCTTTTCAGGTTCCTGATTTGACACCACCTGAGCAGCAGCAGGCTTAGGCGGCGCTGCTGCTTGCTTTGCTAAGACGTGCATGTTCTGAGCCAAGTAGTTCAGGTGGCTCGTGAGAGTCATCTGCTTCTGCTCCGCTGCTTTCTGTACGTAGAGCTCCTCCAAGGGCTCGGCGTCTTGCGAGTCACACTCGTTGAGCTGGATACGCAGCGGTTGCAGCGGGTATAGCAGCGGCACAATAAGATGGACCGTCTTGACGCCTTGCAACCCGGGAGATAGCTCGGCACGGCGACGAGGCTCTAGAGGGAGCGTGTAGACGATGCCGTCCGGCGATCGGCGATATAGAGACAGCCGTCCCATGCGTGTCTCCAACTGCCGCGTCTCCTGCGCGCGCCGGGCTTTGGCAGCCGCCATCTCCTCCTTGGTGAAGTACTCTTCAGGAGTGTAGTGCCTCACAGGCGGCGCCGGGGCCGGGGATGGCGTCTTTGTGATCTGGGTCGCCGGGCCCGGGATGGCCGCGATGGCGGCGGCCTCGAGGTGGCGGGTATCCTTCACGCCCTCGTCCTTGTAGGTGACCAACTTCACGGTAGCCACCTCCTGCTCGGACAGGAACTTTTCCAGGTTCTTGTCCAGGGCGTAGGTGAGGGCGAGAAGCGTAGCGCCCCGGCGTTCCTCGACGAGCCTCTCCCACCCGCGCTCAATGTTGATGCAGAAGCCGCGCGGGATATCGCTGTTCCGCACGTGCAGGACGGGGACAGCATCGGGGTAGTCCTCCGGCACGCGGAGGTCGCACTGCAAGTGCTCCAGCTCAAAGGGAAAGTCCGGATCCGAGGGCTTGATGCGGAAGACCAGGGATGTGGTGGTGCCGTCCGCGGCGGTGGATTCGCGGGGCGAGTAGCGCTTGCGCAGCTGCTCGAGCTGGTAGCCGCGGGGATCCTTGGACTGAGCCTCTGGGACGGGTTTGGGGACCACGCGGTCGGTGCGAGGCCTGGGAACGGCCTGCTGGTGCGTATTGCCGCCCTGTTTTGTGAGGGAAATCATGTTTGCGCGTGGTGAACGGAATTGGAAATGCTCAACGTTGGAAATTGTGGATGAGCTGAACGGGATGAAATGCAAAAAGAACAGGGAGAAATGGGTGGACTGCGGGTGGAGCAGTGCTTGTCCGTCTCTTGATGAGCTACCTCAGCTGGCAAAGGCGAGTATTGAAGGTTTGCTGTCGAAGAGAGATCGTTCGGGAAGATGTCGAGGCGAAGAGGCTATATTTGACAATTCCGCGTGTTGTCAGTCAGGTGGCGATGATTGACGATGAGCCCAGGTGGGTTTGGCCCCGGACCGGATGTATTGGAATCTCCGAGTCGCTTCTCAATCTGCAACCGCGACATTGACAGGGTGCCGAGACTTTCAGCGGCGTTGCGTTACGCTGCGGTTAGTCGAGGTGACTCATAATGGGGCGCCAACTTGTCAACGCTAACAGATCTCGGCCGGAGGAGCCGGCAAACTTGTTAGTGCACGGTCTTGTTTCTGCTGCCAGTCACCAATCACCTGCAGACGAGATGCATCGACGCCGGTCGACTCATCTTCGATAGTGGAAAACATGTCATGAATAAATATGCACGATTCAGATCAAAGATTCAGGGGCGCTAGAGGAGTTTGCCGTGCCGCAGATAATGAGTTGTTTGCACCTTGTCTGTCAAGTGGCTCTGACTAAGTACCTTCAATATCTGGCAATGCGGATGCCTCAAGTTAGGTGTAGGCTCGTAACCTGTTCAATGGTAAATACCCTGATTGATGAGCCGAACTATAAAGCCTTGTGTGCTACAGTCGAGGCAAGAAAGGTTCATGATACTCTTCCTTTGGTACATCTGTAGGGAATGCCGCGCTCGCTAGGAGACATCCTCGCCAGGGTACTTCCTCAATAGGGTCTCTCTTTGCCTTTATTGTGTTCTTCTAATAGACGGGAAATCTCGTTCCACTAGAGATAAAAAGCCTGGTTAGAATGATTTAAGAGTCATCCTCGAGCGTGGGCAGATTTCGGGTTGACCGACAACAGGTACTTTGACATCCGAACTTCCCGCTGACCGGAGCTGAAGTGGACCCATTCGGCCCCGGGTGTCCACAAAAGACCCGATCGGAACACTTACACGGCTTATGACCCGCAAAGAAAGAGAAGCAAAAACACTGCAAATTTCTACCCGAATAACTCTATGAAAATATGAAATAGCATTTTCGTCGCCACTTATTCGCAGCAATGTATATTACTTGGTACCTTGCCCCCCCTGCAGATTACCGCGTGTTGCCAATACTTAGAAACGAAGCAGGCAAGCGAGGCGCTGATGGCCTCATTACGTACGTCTGGATCCCTGTGAATGGCGTTGAAAACGGTGGGAATAAACGAGCTGACCATTCAAATCCCATCGAGATATCAACACCATTACCTTCTCGACAGCATTCTTTTCAATAAGGTAGAAAATATTGAATACTAAAAAGGAGAGACCTCTGAAGGAGACAAACGGAAAGTCTGGCATCCACTTTACGTACCGCCGTGTAACAGCCTTACTGTCCGCGCCTCAAAATGGGAAATTCAGGTTCACTTGCGCCAACTCAGGTGTCAATTTTGGCAATTCTGGGCATCATCGCCAGTATTCGTGATCAAAATGATCAAAGTATTAGTGATAAAGCTGACCCCCGAGGTAAAGCTTGCTGGCAGGAAAAGTGACAGCTGCACAGGAAGGATGACACCCTGCATGACAATCGGATATGCGTGAGCTGGCGTGTCTCAACAACGTGATGCCCAGCACAAACACACCTGCTGGTCAAAAGAATGGAGGGGGCGGTAAAGAGAATAATGTCACCGAAGACAGCCCCCGCCGCGGGGAAACCAACGAAAGTGGTGCTCAATCGCTGCCCAACAAGACGCAGGAACATCGAGTCCTGGTTCCTGGTATGTCACCAGAGGAAGAAACTTCGAGGTTCGAGGTAGTTGGGGGGCATTTTGTAACGGTGACAATGGCCCTTCATGCGAACGTGACAAGCTGTGGCCGCCTCCAAGCCACACCGACAATCCGGCAGCGGGCACGGCGATTTGCCGCCTCACCTGGCCTCGCATCTTGTCCGCATATGCGGGCACCAAATGACCCCTCGGTATGGGAGTGCCGCTGCTGCTGTCCGTAACCGGGAAACGTGGAGGGTTCAAGGCATGAGGGGCTATCAGCAGCCTTCCGTATCACTGCTGCCCTTGGGCGGCAAAACGACGCATCTAGAATTGAGACGATCGCGGGTACTGCATTCAAGGAGGGGAGGAAAGAGGGGGATTAGTTGCACGTTTGGCCGGCATTGCTGGGAGGTACGGCAGGCGCCACCTTCGCGTGTAGCACAACGGTGAAGTTGATCTCGAAAACTTGCGAGTTGTATGTCGTACCGTAGATAGACGTCCCAAGAACGGTAGGCTTTCGGTCCAGCCGGGGCGAAAGAGAAACCGGTCGCAAAGATGCCATCAGCCTACCAGCAATTGTGGTGTGAAACACTGCGGTTTGGGCGGGCGTGCATTTCGTATCGAGAACGATAAAGATCGAATGCCAGTTGGCCCGGGGAACTGCGACGGATGCAGCAATGCGGCGGTTGCATGTAAGGCGCAGAAGCTTGGTGAGCTTCAAAGGGACATGAAATCAGAGTAACGAAACGTTAAAGGTTGGAGACGGGCGAGTGGAGGAGACGCGACCGCTCTCCAAACGGGGGCACCCGTGATAACGAGACGGACAGCGGTTGACAGGCTGTCAACGGCGTTTTGCGATATTTGGCAACTCGGTCAAGGGAGAATCTGGTCCTCTGCATCTTGTGTTTGTCAACCCCCGTGCTCAGTGCTCACCTTGTCCTGGCAGCAGACCGGCGCGGCGGGAAGGCATGGGAGAGGATTCGCCGGGAGATGCAGCGGGTGGTGATGTAGTGCCCGACCGGAAATGCAGCCCGGCCGCCACCATCCTCAATCGTGTTGAGGATGTTTGGTACCAAAAGGCAAGGTATTCAATTAGATGCGGTACGGTACGTACGGGGGCGCCTCGGGAAGGCTGCGTGCGTGGGATGTGACAGCTGTTCCCTCATCTCGATGTCGATGAGATACGACCAGGACGTCTTTGAACGCTTGGGAGGCCAATTTGGTGGTGGCAGAGTCCGGAGGCAGCACGGCCTGCCTCATCAGCCGATTCATCGACAAGATGTCGAGGCTTGTTTCCCGTCGGATGGTGGTGGTGAGTTTATCTCTAGGGTCCTTTTGGACGACGATTCCTTGAGGTTGCTGCTGGTAAACATGGTAAACAGAGCCCTGGCGACTGCGACTGCAACGCTGAGAAGTAAGGGAGAGATGCCAGCGCATCAGGAAGAGGGCCTGGTGACCATGGTGTATATGCAAGTCCAAGTCAGCCTCCCGAGCGGTGAGGGGACGGGAGTTGGGAGCCCAGACCCGGGATGCGTCTGGGGGTGTGAAGGAAACAAAGGTGAAAGGTGAAGAAGGGAAAGGGTGGGATGGAAGAAAGACGGACGCGCTGGCGGATTAGCACTCCTTTTTGGTGAGGCTACGGTGGCGGACCGTCGGCGCTACCATTTTAGCAGCTGTGTCTGTAGTTGGTCCCGTTGCTGTCATCTGGGGGGAAACGGTGGGGCTCAGTTCAAGATGGTGGTGTGTTTGTCCGTATGTGTGTGGGTGTATGAGTTGGTGATATGCCAGAAATTGAGCTGAAGATAATCAATATCTTTGTTCAACTTTTTATTCTCTGTTTATCTTTATTTCATTATTTTAATGATTTATCTTACTTTCTTTTATTTTTCATTTTAGTAGTCCCCGGTCATATGTCTCTGCTTGCATCAACCAGATCTGATGCGTCCATATCTGATCCCAAGAAGTTGGGTAAATGTACGATGCGCCTGTTTTGCAGCCCCTACTGCCACACTCCCTTTCATGTTATGTCTTCCGTGCCCATGATTGCGCTCACAATCTTCAAAGAGGTATTTTCAATACTTCTAATAAACGGTGATAGCACTTTCAGTCTTTGGATTGTGCCGGCGATGACGGGCTCAAGGTAGTGGTTAAGGCCCCGTCAATGGCAATCTCACTTGTAGTTTGTCTTTCCACAAGTATTCAGGGTCTGGTTCGCAAGCGAGACGGTCTCTCCATCGCAGCGCTAAATTCCCCATAAGTTCCGAGAAAAACAAAATAATAAAAAGGAGAATAAACAAAAGGCAACCGGGTTTCTGCCCTGTCTCTCCAGGCTCATCGCTACCAGGATGACGGATTGACACTTTTTGATGGCACCTCATGCAAGACAGTCCATGTGTTCATCAAGGCCTTGATTGACTGGTTGAAACCCGTATCTAAGGTCACCCCCGAGAATTCCCAAAAAGAGCCTTTGTTGAACGTATACTCGCAGGACGTGACTCAACATCAGAAAGGTCCCCAAAGGTATAGTTTCAAAAGTCAAATTCGGCAAGTCGAGTCGGGTGTCTGATTCCAAAGGTAGCTTCTTTGCTCTCCCCACGAGTACCTTGCCCCCCCAAATACAATCCTCGGCATCTCCAATCGATGACTGCAGCTGATTTCTGCCTGGGCTCACGACGAGGGACGGTTCCATTGCATATCTCGTAACCTCGATTTTGGGACCTTGGAGGATGCACCGCCTCGAGTCGCACTGCACCAGCCCCCCATGCGAAGTAACGGGGGAGTGGCTGATCCCCCGCTCCGTCAGATCCGGGAGGCATTGAGAGCCTGCCAGTGGTCAAAAATACGGGTTGGGCGTGCAATGAGAAGCCCCGGACGTTGCGGTATCGCATCGTTTGGATATTCAGTGAGCGCCTCACTCACATGGCAAGCCATAGATGAAGGAGCGCCAGCATGTGTCATCTCATCCCGTGCCTGAGGTGACTAATAAGCCGGCAGACATGTGCGGCATTGAACCTTGGGGAGCAGACGTAGCCTCGCCATGTCTCTCGCCAGATCATGGCTTTCGACAATACTATCTAATTGTTATTTTAATTGTTATCTTAATTCTTATTTTAATGGCATTATTTGAAAACACCGGATGATAGTCAATTGTTGTTTTCAGCAATGGCTAATCGATCCTCTACCCGTGCGGCCTTCGGTTTCTACACTTTGAATCCTCCTACACGGGCATCCTTCAACACCACCCACCCACACACCCCTCCGCTTGTACGCTTGCTAGCACTGATTAGCCCTTGACACCTTGGACGCCAGCGCAGCGCTTCCCGGAACCACATGGCCCAACTTCCGCGGGAGCTAACTTTCAAACGCGCCAACCACACAGAACCCTTCGCTCCTTTGCGCTCTCACCTGACTGAAGGACTGACATCACCGCCGACGGTCTACCCGCCATCCGCTAAACGTTCTCCCATTGCTTGCAAATGTCCGAGCCGCCGAGGCATCTTTCTACCCCCTTTTCCACTGTTGTTTATCCCCCAGCGCCGCGGCTGCTTGGTCTCAGTCTTGATCAGAGAGACAGGTTCGTGGCGCTGAGACAGGCCGCCAACCCGATAGCGCGCGAGACCCATGCGGCTTTCATGAGGGTTCGCTTTCCAAATGGGGCACATGCTCGTTCTGACGTAGTCTGTTTGGGACCCTTTGGGAGCACTCTCATCGAAACCGAGGCGGCGGCATCGTACCTGATTGACAAAATCGAGATAATCGACCTCATGGCAGCGATGATCTCTGTCTCGTTGCTCTTGAACGGCTAGAGCTCCTGACTTGCTCGGGAATGCGGGTTGATGTCACTTCCGACCCGTGCCTCCGCTGCGCGGACCGAGCCACGGGTTGCGAATAGCTTCGTGACTCGCCTCGGCGCGCGCTCTCCTCTCAGTGAGGGGCCACAGTCTATCCTCGGTAGGATATCTTGTGATGTATACGTGATATGGTAGTCCATATCATACTATTGCCAGTCTTCATTCAAAAGAGGGTTTTCGGGGTGTGTCGTTAGCCCGGTGGAGGAGGAGACCCTTCAACGTCGTTGTCTTGTCCGTGTCTCAGTGTTGCCGTGCCAGCGGCGGCATCGACATCAGTGGCTGTAGCTGCACATGTCGAAAACTCACCAGATAATTTGGACCAGCTGCACATGTTCAAGTGAACAACGGTTTGTGTTCCTGAGTTGGCAAAGAACAATTGAGTAGACTGTTAGGGGGTAAGCAGGTGTCAGCGGTTCAGTTCAATAGGCATCGGCCAACATACAACTTATGGTAGTTGGATCTGGGTCCTGTTGTATTCATCGGCCATCGGGGATCATCTGCCAAGCGAGAGCTGTTTGGCAGATGAGCAAGATGCTCGTCATTGTGGAAGGACGAGACTACCGGTCTTCTGTGGCTGTTGGTGACAACGACAAGGGCGGCGAGGCTAATGATTGAGAGTCGGTGCATATGGTGACGGCTTTTCAGAAGACTGGTGTCTTCGTATAGGCGAGTCCAAGACGCGATCAAATGAATCCTTCATCTGATCAGGTAGCACAGTGAAGGCATCGTGAAGTGACAAGGAGCACTGCCTGGCTATGTATGGTGGTGTTTTCAGTTGCAAATGCCATGGTTCTGGATTATTCCCGGAAGGACACATTGCCCCAGGAACTGCACGTAGATTTGACCACGTCTCAGTTCTTTCCTCTTGCTGCCTTCCATTAATTTCGAGGAAAGAGGAAAAGATAACAAAAGGGAGGCGCAGATGGTCTTGCTCCTTCCCGTCACCAACTCCTTCACCTGGTCAACGGCACTCGCTCCTGCCCTGCATCGCAGCCACTGCCTGAACCCAAGGTCTTAGGTACCTACCTAGGGTAAGGTAAGTACCGGATGAGGTACCTCTCGGAAAGGAAGGAACCCGTCTTCCGTCCAAGAAGCAATACACATTTCCATGAACTTCCATTGCCTACTTGAAACCTTCCCTCTGCCCTTTCATCGTGCTCTTCTCCCTCATAGCACTGTCATTTACTATCGAGCCGCCAGAACGTCGACTGTCTAGACTTCCGCTCTCTGTATGTCATCGTAGCTCAAGGCTGAAGACGTTCGTAAATCACGGAAGAAGTAGTCTGGTAGCATTTCCTCATGTCTTCTTACCTAGCAAAGACTGACACCTTCGAAGTACCACATACCGCAGACTCGACGTCCACGATGCAAAATGTCGCCAGTGCTTTCGAGCCCACCAACGTTCCAAAACGACCTCTGACGCCGAGCTCATCTTTTGCAATTTCTTCTCCATTGAAGCGGTTAGCTGTCGATGCTTGCGTGGGACCGAACATCTTCGATCATGAGGGCCTGCCTCAGATGTCATTCGAGCCCGGCTTTCCAGCGAATCTTGTCGCAACTTCAAGGCAGCAGTACCCTCCCGTAGACTTCCCGCAGTCTCCACAGATCCCGACAAGCCCAGCTGATGACGTTGTCGAGATACCCAAGACACCGCCGATCTCGTCGTTGCAAACAACCACGCATGTTCATGTGGCAGAGCCCGATCTGTCAGATTTTTGGATGGATTATGTAGATCTGGACAGCGTTGGGGGCGAAGGTTTTGTCCCGATGGAGAAACTACCTGGTGAATACCACGATGCCGTATCTGAGACCTTGTCTAATGTAGATGAAGATTCCGGTAAGCCATTTCCTGAGCTCAACGTCGATCGCCTTGCCCAATCGTCGTCAAAGAGTGAAGAAACTGTCGAAGATGACTATGGTCTCGAAGGCTTTGACGAAGAAGAGATGATTCAGCTTCTAGAAGATACCGGGGACGAGCCTCCTGGTTTCCCTCCGCCAAGCGTCATACGGAAGATGGACTGCGATTCGAGATCAGCTTCAAGCTTCGACTCCAAATTGCAGTTCTCCGAGCCTGATATGAACACGAGCGAAGCTTTAAAGACTGGTCTGAGTGAACCTGATCTTATTGATGATGATGTCGACTGGGAGCTTGTGACAAAATGCGCAGCAACTGCGGCTGGCGCTTCTCTAGATCATGAGACTGAAATGAGCATTAGAGGCACCAAGGAATCACTGAAAGAGCATTCGAGCCCGGCACCCTTAGTCAGACCCCCTTTCCCCGACAAAATGAGAGACCGCTCCGTGGTCGTTGGACTCTCTTCGACGATCATGATGCGCACTTGTTTCAGAGTTGGAGAGCTCCTCAATACGCAAGCTAAATGTAGCCGGGAGAAGCAGGACGTTTTCTTTGAGCTTTTCGCGCGGGTCGTCTACTCCAACCGGGAGAACGTTGCCAGAGTACAACATGTACAGCTGCGAGATCTTTTTACCGATCGGCAGCCATTTCTCAGCGGCGTATTCAGGGGCTGGAAGAGCGGTGGGCCTGTGGATGATCAGAGCAAGGTATTTTTAGGATCCGAAGGAAAGAACAAGTTGTGTCGATGTCTTTGCAAGGTATCAGAAGACAAGAAGGCTGCAATTGGTCGCTCAGCAACGCTCTTGTCGATCAGGGAGACAACTTGGGATGAGGTTCAGTGGGCTATGAGAATTGTTGCAAGGGATGCAACCTCAGACGAGAACATCGATATCGAGGGAAAGAAGTCCTCTGTCATATGAACGACACAATCTGCTGATGCGGACGATTTTCGGGGAAGATTCACGACATGTCATGAGAGCTGGCTTGATGTCGACGAAGGAACTGAGGATGATCATAGCTTTGAAAGGAAGATTCCTGAGTAAAGGCATGTAGAAGACAGAGCGTAACATTAATGATGGAATCTCCTCGCATCAGATTATTTGCTTGCAAGTCTTCCTGCTGAAATCCGCTTTCTGATAGAGGTAGCCAGACTAGCTAGCTCCCGAACCACATCCCATCACCATCGCCACTTGTCCCTCCCTTAAGGAACTCCATCCACGCGTCGTCGCCCATGACGACGTCAGCCGCTTCTAAGGGAGGCACATTGGGCCACATCATAGAGAGAACGCTGTTAATCTGGGTCTGAGGGCTTTCATCTATGGGCTCAGGAGCCGAAGGTTGTGCTGCATTGTCCTCATAGCTAGGAGACGTTGTGGAATCTGCCCGAGCCGTCGCGGAGGGGGCTACGGGCAGCGCAATTTCATTGCTATCCAAAAACCTGCCACAGAGGTCAATGATGACTTGGTAGCATCGAGATGAGCTGGAGTTTACGGGGGCGAGGGCGGCTATGCACCGTGTTGTGGTCGTGATTTGTTCCTGCCAGTCTCTGGCGTTGGGTGATGCTGGGTCGTTGCGGAGACAGATGCAGGGTATCAGGGCCGCTTGGAACAAGAAGTATCTAGAGGTTGGGGAGAGTGAGTAAATTGAGGAAGTCCAGAAGGAGACTGGTGCGGATGTTGGTACTTACAAGGCATACCAGGCACCGAGACGGTTGTGCTCGTTCCGTTGCCAGAACTCGCTGATGCTGGTGATGGTTGCCTTGGCCTCTGCCAGACACTTTTCGAAAGCGCGGACGTTATCTGGCGAGTCATCTGATCGTCTATCGCGGGCTTGTAGGGCCCGACGGATGACGAAGGGGCGGTACATTATGATGCGGAGGTTTCTGTACCGCCAGTTCATGACGGCGTGGGCGAGAGCGTACTTTGGCGGCACGCGGCTGGTAGAGGAGAAGTACGACGGAACGCTTGCCAGCCATGGATCAAGTAGGTCTTCGTCTAGTCGTAGCATCTCGTCTGGGGAGGGAAGGGGCTTTGAGATTACCCTTGTGTAGATGGGCGTTGTGGCGATGTGGAAGCTTGCTTGGGTTCGGACGGCTGTGTAGGGGGTTATGCCGTCTGTTTCGGGGGGGTATGATTTTGAGATGGCGGTTAATGACTACGAGGGAGGTTAGCGACAGCCAAAGCAAATCCAAGCCAGTAGGGAAAGCGACCTTGTCGTCGACGTTCAATGGCAACGAGACCTCGACGCCTTCGTACGGCCAGACGGACGGCCTGCTGAACGTGATGGTCGCCCCGACATCGAACACACACAACGACCACCACACCCGCCGTCGAATCTCCATATTCAAAGGCGAGATATTCCACCCCTGGAATTCCTTGTGCAGACCGAGCCCCATGGCCATGCGCACGGCCAGGCCGAGGTAGTTGTACCCGGAGTTGGGCTTGTCCCGCTTCTGCTGGTAGTTGGAGATGAGGGTGAGCGCCTGGACGAGCGTCAGGTTGCCCACCTCGAGGAAGTTGAAGGACAGGATCGAACGGGCCTGCGAAAAGAGCGAGGTGTCGAGGTTGTCGAGGTTCGCGGCCGTGGTGTAGACGCCGATGGCGGCGACGGTGTAGGCCAGGACGAGCCAGCAGTCGCCGCTGGGGCGGGGGATGACGCCGGCGTACTGCGCTCTGAAGGTGGCTTCGTGGATGATGGGGTAGCTTACGTGGTAGAGGCGGAAGTAGGCGTCTATCATTGCGTCTGTGATGTGTCTGTTGGGATCTGGCTGCTGCGCGATGAGTGGGTTTTGCAAGTGGTTGGTGATATGTTGCTGCTGCTGCTGCTGCTGGGGCCCTGCGCCTATACCAGGTCTTGAGGAGGAGGATTGAGTTCTTCGTCTCGGTGTTGATGGTTCCAGGAGACGGAGAAGGGCTGCGCCGGACGCGACGCCGAGGTAGCCTGATTCCCTTTCGCTGACGGCGAGCGAGGCCATGCCGTCTGCGATGGGATCTGCGATTACTTCGCCGTTCAAGTCGGCTTCTAAGATGGCCTCGGGAGACGCCGAGTAGTTTGTTAGGGTTTCTTGCTCGTCCCATTCGAAGTCGTCTGTGGGATGAGCCTCGAGGAGGTTGAGGTCTCTGTGCGATGTGTCATTGTGAGGTTTATATTGAGCAATTCTCGAAGCGCGCTGGGGTTCGGATCTCATGTTGGAGGTTGGTAGGACTGAGGACGGGACATGATTCTGGGGTAGTGATGATGGTTGGAATGGCTGTGACGGCTCAAGATGGACAGCTTCGCATTGCGGGAGCGCGTCGGGCCCTTGGGCCGAGAGGGCCGGGAGAGGAGCCGGAAGGGGGGCCGCCTCCAACGGCGCCGGAGTGTCAAGCTTTGAAAAGTCAAAGTCCTCTTCATCATTTCTCGGCGCCGGTGTTTCTAGGTTCCTTGGACTGGATAGCACGGATCCCGATCTTAGCTGGGCCGGCATCAGCGCTCTCATCTGTGTTATGATTGCCTCAGCCCGCTCCAACCTCTCTTCTACTTCCGTGAGGTGTCTGCAGAAGGGCGTTATGTCAGCGGAAGAGGTCCATTTGCGCTCGACGTTTATGCACTAGGGATAGCGAATTAGTTCTACATACTTCCTTGTCAACGGGGTGCGGGCGTGTTTCTCGTACAGGCAGTGCCGGCGGTACTTTACGCACAAGTTGCATGTCGGAATCGCCCGGTTGCACTTGGCTTTCCGCCTCCGGCACTCCTTGCATGCTTGATCAGCCGACGGGAAGGCCATGCTAAGGGGGTCATGGTTGCTCGGCTGAGGAGGTGCCGGCTCATTGTCACCCGTCGCACCTGAGGACGACATCTTCCTTTAGGTTTGAAGCTGGTCACGACTCTCTCCACGGGCTTTCTGGAGTGCTTAGTAAAGCATCAAAGCCGTCTCTGCATTCAGATCGCGATTCGAGCCGGGGAGCGGTAACCGTCCTTGACGATGCAACAGGGGCCGGCTGAGAAGACTAAGGGCGAGTGTAGTCCGTATCTGAAGACGTCATGACATGACATGCAGGAACAGGCGAACAATCGATAAAGTGTTGGTCTGGCACACATGGGGTGAGGTGAGGTTGGCCTCCAACCGCAACGAACTCCCAGTGAAACCCCGCCCTTTTTTCTCCGCACGCTTGCGCTGTGGTGATCCACAACACCATCTGATCGCGATCAGGGGGGATGCAATCCTTGCACGGCCGAGCTCCGTCCGGTGTTAGTCGGCTCTTGAGAATGGCTGAGAGAACTGTCGTTTGGACTGGTTAATGGAATGTGTGGTTTATGCGTCTCGTCTGTACCCAGTCGACACAAGAGACTAAAGTAGACCTCAATTGTGGAGGGGACCAAATCCCTCCACGAGGCCGGAGCAAACAAGCAAAGTTGATAACAGCTCGCTGGTGTGATTGTAAAATAGTTTTGAGATCTATCTGATGGATGGCATCTCCAACCAAATTGGCAGATGTTCCTTTGCCTTAATCCAATGAGTATCGAACTATTCACTCTTGAAATTAAATTTACCTCATAATGTTGCGGTATCTCTCGCTAGATCATTCCCTAGAGCCATCCGCGCCCCAAAGACGCATATACATGAAAGATGAAATTACTATGCCTCCTCCTTATGTACGATATCGTGAATTCCGCCTTTGGCAAGTATTTTCTCTTCCTTCGACTCTGAAGCATCCTCAAAGTTTTCCACAGCCTGGGGTCCGTCGAAAATCACCGCAATCTCTTCCAAGCTGTACCCCTTGGTCTCCGGGAACAATACCCACGTAACGACAAAGAATACTACCAAAAAGCAACAGAAGACAATGTAATAACGCCACCCAATGTTCTCTAGACCGATGGGATTTACGAATGCCGCGATGATCAGTGACCCGTAGATTGCGAATAGCTCAACCGCGATGCCTTTGGAACGCAGAGAGTAGGGAAAAATCTCGGTCGGATATCCCATCAGAAGTGGGGTGTAAGCGATGTCGTAATGGAAGTAAAAGGTGAAGAGGCAGACGACGACAACAATTCCAGCGGATTTGGACCCGGTATCTGTGTTGACAGCTGAGCACGCTGTCCAGACAATGTAGCTCACCAGCATGCCTGCCCCTGACCAAAGGAATAGAGTTCGACGGCCAAGCCGGTCGACGAGGAAGGCAGCGCTTAAAGCGGCAGCGAAATTGAAGATCTGAAGAAGACCGTTGATCAAGGTTTGTGTAAAGGTGTCCGTGATACCGACGGTGTTGAGAACAAGTGTGAGATAGTACGAGACTACGCCAATGCCATTCCACCTGAAGAACAACGCATCAGCAAATTACTCAGTCTTTCAAAGAACCCACAGGAGAGCACTTACTGGGCAAACGCTCCCACACAAACTGCAATTAGCGTCCTCTTGCGATTGCCAGGCGTGGATACCAACGCCACCCAGCCCGTCGTCTCTGCAGACTTTTCTTGCTGGATTGTCTGGACAATTTCGGCCACTTCACGGCGAACAAGAGGAGTATGGCCTTCAGATGGGGCATGAATCCCTGAATGATACTTTGCGAGAATTGCAGCTGCTTCTGTAGTTCTTTCTCGTGCTACCAGCCATCTGGGTGACTCTGGAACCCAGGCGTAGAAGCATAGCTGCACCAGTGGGAAGCCGGCTTGAAGAATGGAGGGAACCCGCCATGCCCACTCACTTTGGTAATCTTGGCACCCGAAAGTTGTCCAGGAAGCCAAGATCGCACCTGTCCAGTTTTGAATCAGTTTCCGGAAGTCATCTAAAATTGGGGGCTTCACGTACCAAGATAATACATAGTCCAATAAGCTGATGTGTATTTTCCACGGTGTGTCGGGTCTTTTCGTCGTCCGTCAGTGAAAAGTTTTTCATCTCATCTTGTTCCGGGTGCTTACAAGCTAATTCAGCAATGAGCATGGGACTCGGATGAACGACAAACATGCCACCGAAGCCGACAACTAGCCGCGAGATGATGAACATCGGTAGGTTGATCGAGGTGGACTGGATTATCGTGGCGATGATGATGAGAATGATGCCAGACAGGAGAACGGGCTTCCTGCCGAAGCGATCCGCCAGATATCCCACAATAGGCAGGGCTAGAACAGATCCAATAGATTGCGCTGCGTTCACAACTCCCAGCCTTACGCCGGCCGGATGTCCAAAGTATTCTCGCCACTGTTGAAGGGATTGAAGGCCGTTCATCAAGGAGCCTACATGCAACGTAGAGATGTGGTATTAGTAGCTGTTGATTACACAGAGAGGAGGGATTGGGAATTATCTCTGCGCTCACCATCGTAACCTGCAACTGAAGAGGACAGTAGAGGGATCAGAAGTAGCAGATTCAACCTGAGCAAATGCGGCTGTTGGAACCAGTATCTGTCTGTCTTGGGAAGAACTCCAGCCAAGGCGGCGCCGACAATCTGCTCGTCCTTCATGGTGGCTTATTTCCGAGGTTGCTTTTGCAACATTGACTAACACGGAGATGTGACGGACGATGTATGGGCAAGATAAGGCAGGGTAACAACAAGTTGATGATAGTTCGCGAACGGGGCCCGCAAGAGCTTTATACATGCACTTGGACGAAGGCAGCCCATGGAGGCTGGTGATCAACTTGTCGCGGAGCATTTCGTACGCAAACAAGATAGTTCCCAAGCAGCCGGAACCTGGGAATACCGCGTCCGGCAGTCCTCCGCATGCTCGTTTACCCCACATAGCGTGGTAAATGGGTCATTGAAAATACGGGGGGATTCGCCCATGGGGTAGCATCACTCAAGCTGTGCTGCATCGACATACGTCCTGTCACGCGAGTCATGCTTTTGCGTGGTATTGTGAGGAAGTCCGATGTGCGGTTGGTAAAGTGCGGGGACGACGGACGACTGTCACCCTGCACTAGCGGGATGTAAAGGAGTTAGTCGACGAGGAGTGACAGTCGCTATTGGTGAGTTGCGGCACTGTTGCCAACTTATTGGAAGTCCAAGTTCGGGTAGCTTTGCCCGGTGATAACGCGCAGCCGCCGTGGGTCGGGAATTTAGGCGAGGGTGGATGGGGGCCGCCAGCCGGGATCTCTCGATCATGGCGCGACGACGAGGTTGAACCGGGTTGCAAGATGCTTGCAGCTTCAAGGATCGCAGGCTTCGGGAAATATCGAGGATCGGTTGGTCGGATTTCGGCCTGATAGTCTCGGATGTATCGACGCCGCCATGTTCTCGAGGTGATATCTAGTTTAGTTGTGAAATTGAAATATTGCGTCAACCAAGCGCCGCCGAAAAGTATTTGATGTCGAAGTCAAGAGTGTGAGAACACTATGGCTCATAAAGCTAGATGGAGGAAATGTCACCAAGTCCAAGATCAAAAAGACAATCTTTTCTCTGTGAAAAAGTCACTTGTGCTATTGACTTAGCACAAACCTATGACGCCCAAGACGAACCATGTAAGAGATGGTGTCAGTACATCCGTCTCTACTTGCAGCTTTTTCCCTAATTCTGCTTTATTTCTGAATTACTGATAAGCGAATATGAGGGACGTAAAGTCAGATTGAGATATGAGTTGGTATTACTCCCTGTAAGGTCTGTAAATATTCATTACCATCATCTAGTATTTGATCAATAAGTCTCTCTGTTCATATTTTTCAGACTGACTGTGGTGTGAGGTTGCGGATACTACCTTACCAGAAAGTTCAAAAGTGATTCAAGCAGAAAAACTTTTCATTGCATGACTGTATACGTTCAGAGTTCAAGATGTGAATGACAGGAATCTGTTACAGATGCCACGGTTGAAGTTTGAATTGAACAGACTTTGATGTATCAAGCTATTCTAGATCACCGTGCCGTGTACCCACCATCCACGATGAAGTCAGCCCCAGTTGTGTAGGAACTAGCATCACTCGCTAGGTACAGGTAAACGCCTTTCAACTCCCTCGGATCAGCATCTCTACGCAGTGGTGTTAAGCTGAACCACTCCTCCTTCATCTCGAACGGACAATCACCCGAGATGACGGTATCGATGTAACCAGGAGACACCGAATTGATGCGTCCTCCCCACTTGGCCCACTCGACAGCCAAAGACCGCGCTAGGTGTATCTACAAGTCCTTAGTATCAGCCAAAATGCCTTTGTCAGGTGTTTCAAAGAAGATGGTATAATCGTACGGTTCCTGCCTTGCAGGCATTGTAGCAGCTCTGCTCTTGCGGTACGTTCGCAGCGTGACCACTCATGGACGCAGTGATGATGCCTACGCCCCTCTTCTGCTCACGGAACACAAGACCAGCCGCCCTCATGCAGTAGTACGCGCCGTCGAAGTCGACTGCACGTACACGATCCCAGTCCTCGACCTTGTCGTCAAGGCCCCCGGCCTTGGACGGAATTCCGGCGTTGGCGATCATGACATCCAGACGACCGAAGTCCTTGACCGCTTCTGCCACCGCTGCCTCGACAGCAGGGTAGTTAGTGACATTGACTTGATAAGCCTTTGTCTTGACTCCAAAATCTTCCGCAATGGTTGCGGCAATGTTAACGGCGGCTTTAGAGCTGTTGTACCATATGGCGATCTGTAGATGGTATCTGTGTCAGCCACATATGTACTGAACTGGGGATGAGATTCAGAATACGTTGGCACCGGCTTCAGCGAGGCCCCTGGCAATCTCTGATCCTATTCCGCCTGCTCCACCAGTGATTATGACCGTTCTTCCATCAAGGCGGAACTGTTTGAAGACACTATCCTCGATGGGCGGATTGGAGGCTCTGATGGACTTTCTCGCCCCATTCGTGGAACCATTTGTTGCCATGTTGCTTGACTAGCGAGCCGACAGATGGGATAGAGTAGGAGGTTAGTCGGAAGATAGGATGACTAGAAGTTCTGATACCTTTGGCGACAGGAATTCTTCAGCCCAAGCTGTTCATGAGAGACATTCAAATACCTGGTTTCAATCACAACCTTTTCGTCCAGTCCGTTTTGGTTTCCAAGAGGTAGTTACTCTGCAGGCTCAGAAAAGTTAATGTCGCTTTCGCCAAGGTCCCCCGGGTCCGGGTAGAAGCCAAAGCCGGATCTCTGTCACCCTCAGCTCTAGTAGGCTAGTCCGGATTGTCATCCGCGAGAGGTCGATCTTAGATGCTCCTCAATTGGGTAACTCTTCTATGCTATCGATCGATACGTCGTATCTACCCTCACTGTGCCTGTCAACGAATTCTCCATTGACCATGTCATTACTCTCTGCCCGGAAGAGAGCTCTTTCCATTGTTTCTTCAATACCAGCTGCGAGATGCCGTGCGGCAACTCGTCTCCGTGCCAGTGTAGGTTCAACTCTCACGAGCCACCGTTCATCTACCAAATCTGCGATCTGGTTCCAGGGCTCGTCATCCACGAGCAAATAATTCCCCTCAACAATGCAAACCTGAACATCTGCATCTACAGTGAACCCATCGGAAACGGGATCCTTTACTTTGTGGTCAAAGGTTGGTGCAAGAACGGGTCGCAGTCCTGCTGAAGCCCGCAGCTGCCGGACGAGGTCGATGACAGCCTGGCCATCAAAGGTCCAAGGGGCCCCGCGCCGAGCAATTGCTTCCGCCGCATTAGGAAGCGCCCGGAGAGCTGCGAGAGGTAAATGAAAGCCGTCCGCAGATAGCACAATACACTTTGGGTGGGGTTCCTGGGAGGCGTTGATGGCGGAGACGACTTTCTGGGCGATGGTTGTCTTTCCGGACCCCGGTGGCCCTGCGAGGGCGATAATGAGGCGGGGATGTACATTGGAGGTGTCGGATGATGTGCGCCTCTTCTCAGCCCATTTGAGGATGATACGCTGAACAAGGGTATGATATGTAGACTCCATACTTGTGTAGGTAATACGACAGTTTGTAGATATTGCAAAGTCAGGGGGAAGTCGACTTCTCGGACACAACGACCCTAAAGAAGGGTGTGTTCTATTAGTAGACTCCAGAGATTGATCTAGACTTTCAGTGAAAGGAATTCCCTGAAGTAGGCAAAATGCTTCTGGAATTTTTGATTCTAGTCCGGCGCTCAATGCTCATCGGACTACTGTCGCCCGAATTCGATTCACTGTCCGACCCCGCACGGCGGTCCCACCCCGTCCTCGACGTCACGGCCATAGGCCATGCTTCATCTCTACACACATTAAGGTGATTGCCAGACTGAACACTAAAGATCATTGAAGAGTTCCAGATCTTGAAGGTTATCTCAGTCTCACATATCTAACCCTTGTAAGGGATCAATCCAGAATGTGCGAAATTGTATGCCCCTATCAACTGCCCCTGCTCCCTTGATCTCGCTGATATCCTGCCCAGAACCCTGCTTTCGTTCTTCATTCTGTCAAGAACGTCTCATTCGAGAACCGCAAAGTCCCAATACTTCGCGATGAATACGACGTCCGAGTCCACATCGAGCAGACGGGCATCTGCGGGAGCGATGTCCACTACTGGCAGCGAGGCCGGATCGGTGACTTCATCCTAGAGTCGCCCATTGTTCTGGGGCATGAAAGCTCAGGGACAATTGTCGAGGTCGGAAGCAAGGTCAAGAATGTCAAAGTTGGCGACCGTGTAGCGATAGAGCCAGGTGTTCCGTGTCGGCAGTGAGCTTCTCCCCAACCATCAACACAGGCAAGCAACGGCTTCTAACAATTTGCATAGCTGCGATTACTGCCGTTCAGGTTCATACAACCTATGCGCAGACACAATCTTCGCGGCAACGCCTCCCTGGGATGGCACGCTGCAGAAGTACTATATTGTTGCCAGTGATTACACTTACCCGATTCCTGAGCACATGTCTTCCGAGGACGGTGCTTTAGTAGAGCCAGTTGCAGTCGCCGTCCAGGTTTGCAAAGTGGCGGAACTGAAGGGTGGCCAAACGGTTCTTGTGTTTGGCTGCGGGCCGATTGGTGTTTTGTGTCAGGCTGTTGCCAAGGCGTATGGGGCCACCAAGGTCATCGGCGTTGACGTGTCCGAGTCTCGCGCTCAGTTTGCGAGGGAGTTTGCTGCCGATGATGTGTACGTCTCGAAGAAGCTGCCTGACGCTCCGGAGGACCCCGTTGACGCTGCTCGCGCTATTGGGGAGAAGATTGTGCGAGATTATGGCCTTGGGGAAGGGGCCGATGTCGTTCTGGAGTGTACGGGTGCCGAGCAGTGTATCCAGGCTGGTGTGTTCGCCGCGAAGAAAGGCGGGACATTTGTTCAAGCTGGCATGGGAAAAGAGGTTCGTTCTTGCACACTTGACCACCGAACATTGTAACACCCTTTACTAACATAAAACTAGAATATCGTATTTCCCATCACGACAGCTTGTATCCGAGCTTTGACCATCAAGGGGTCGATCCGATATCAAACAGGATGTTACCCCGAGGCTGTGAATCTCGTTGCCAGTGGAAAGGTTCTTCCAAGGAAGTTGATCACGCATCGCTACAAGTTCGAGGAGGCTCTTGAGGCGTTTGAGGTTGTGAGGCAGGCTAAAGAGAACACTCTCAAAGTAGTCATAGAAGGTGTACCCAAATGATGCGATCTTGTATTGAGTTAGCAACGAAAATATGGATTGAACATTCATGTCAAACGCTCCACAGCCTTCGGTAGATTGGTATGACTCAGGATTTTAAGAAGTAAACATTCATGTATCTATCACTGCTTATATTTTTGGACAATCTCCCAAATCCTACGTCGGTGATGTACGTGCACATATGGTGGCTAGTGAACAATTCTCATATCCCACTGCTCACTAATACCACCAATCTGTCCTGGATACTATCTTACAATATTTCTCATGCGCCTTACTACTTCAAGCGATACGGATAGAATCCGCTACTCCGTCTTCTTGCAAACAGTTGGGCAGTTGTCATTTACCAACCTCAGTCGATTCCCTACTATCCGCCTTCAGATGGGCGGACGGGGGTGACAGGCACCCGGAGTGCAGCATCTTCCCCGCACCGAAATGGCCCCTCCCGCTCCGGAAGCCTGTCGACCGTCGGCCTAATTCGCCGGTGGACGTAAAGGGTTTCAGAGTCCATCGTAATTGTATTCTCATCGGTACAAATTTCCTGGACGTAGCTCTCAGCTGGCCAGCAAACAACAGCCAGGCCTTCACATTGCAATCTTACCCTTGTCCTCACCCACCAACGGCCTTTTAGTTCCTGAGACGCAACAGAATATCCAAGATGGTTCTTCCAAGCCACCCAAACCCGACAGCGCCCGTCATCGCGCATTTTGACCTGACCGGCAAGACAGCCATCGTTACCGGCGGAACCCGAGGTATCGGCCTGGAAGTTGCCCGCGGACTCGCTGAGGCCGGTGCTAAGGTCGCAATCACATACACAAGCACCGACCCCACAGAAGCCGATGCCACGGCTGCCAAACTATCTGCATCAGGCAACGGTGTGCTTGTAAAGGCGTACAAATGCAACGTCCGCAACAGGGCGGAAGTGGAATCCGTCATTGAGACTGCGACAAAGGAAGTCGGAGGCGGCAAGCTCGACATTGTCGTTGCCAATGCCGGAATCGCAGACCACATCCCTGCCATCGAATATCCAGAGGACAAGTTCCGTGATATGCTGGACGTCAATTTCCACGGGGCTTTTTGGACTGCGCAAGCTGCTGCCAAGGTCTTTGTGAGGCAGTTGAAAGGTGGTAGTGATGGTCGAGGGAGCATAATCTTCACGGCTTCAGTTTCCGCCATCTTGGTTAACGTCCCGCAGAAGCAGGCGGCGTATAATGCTAGTAAGGCGGCGGTGGTGCACTTGGCCAAGTCGTTGTCTGTCGAGTGGGTCGACTTTGCGAGAGTGAACTGCGTATCGCCCGGTTTTATTGCAACGGATAGTAAGTACAATCTCGATACCATGCGTCTATTGAGTGATGAAAATCTGACTTTGATAGTGCTTTCGGTGCATCCCGAGGAGTGGAGGCAGAAGTGGTTCTCTATGATTCCGGGCGGTCGTCTCTGCGAGCCTGCTGAATTGAAAGGATCTTACGTGTATTTGGCAAGTGGTGCGAGCAGTTACATGACAGGTATTTCTCCTCAATTCCAAGGGATACTATTTTGTCATATTAGCTAATAAAAATAGGCGCAAATCTGGTTATTGATGGTGGTTACACGTTGCCATAGATAAGATAGAGTCTAGAGCTCAAGGAATCGCGAAGAGAATCAACTAAAACCAGAACGCTGCGTGTCGGAATTGTATGCCACTTGGATGAGGCCTTGATCTCGTTTGTTCATTCGCCACGTTATATATTATGTGGATTGAACGATTGCAACATCCACAACTGTGTCATCATGTGAGCGAGTACCAGTCTTGACCTCCCTAATTCTATAAGCTACCTGTGATCTCATCCTCTTGTAAGCACGAAAGACACAGGGGCAAGAGCTAAGAACAATATTATTATCCTAATTTAGAACATTGTAAAGCCGTCCTCTACCCTGCTCCAGGCTGGGCAAGTCGAAACGCCATCCCGAAAGAGGGCCCACACCCCGACCCGCCGAGGCCCGGGTCGTCCGGAGGGTTCACGATGGATGCCCTTGGTGTTGAATGTGGATCGTGCCCTCACCTCACGCACAACCTGGAATCCATCAGCTTCAATCTACCCGATAAATCTTCATCAACCGCATCAATTGCCCGGCTAGCTCAATCGGTAGAGCGTGAGACTCTTAATCTCAAGGTTGTGGGTTCGACCCGTAAGCACCAGACGTCTATCCTGAATATCGTCGAACATTTCACTAACAGTAACCAGCCACGTCGGGCTCAATTCCCGTCAGCGATTGAACTAGCAATCGTATCTTTTTGCTCGTCTTATGCTGAAGCATGTTAAGTTCAAAGCAAAGCAAATGAGCTTGAATACTACCGGCTAGATATAACCTCGTTGTGATCTTAGCTGTCCTTTTTGACGAAACTCGTCCCCCGATCACTACAGATCATCCCTCTCTCCCTGGTCTTGGCATCATCGTCAAGGAACCCAATAAGACTCACTTAACTCCAAGACGCTCTTCAAATTTCGCCATGGCTGCAGGGTTCCCCTCCATCTCATAAGTCTTGCCCAGCCCAGCTAAAAGAACGTGCCACACGACGACTTTCTCCAAAAACCAAGCATCTTGGCAGAACTTGGCATCGCGGCGTTTGACGCTCCGGTCCGTACAGAAATGCAGAAAGCGGGAGCTATCTCAGTCTAGCGAGATCCTGCGCCGAGAAAAAGATCGTCGCAAGGGGTCGTAGTATCGCGGGTTGAGCCTAAATGCCACGCTTGTTTCGCTAAGGAGGGTGGCAGCGGCAACTATTTCGATTGGTCGGCTATAATGGTGGTGGCGAGGCTCCCATTGCTTGGCTAAAGGAAACTTTTCTATAAGGTCATGTCGTTTCGAGGATAGCTTTTCTCCTAGGAATTCCATCTGTCATCTCTTTGTTGCGATTACGATGGGCTTGTCTTCGCTTATAGTTTGGCCTTGGAGTTGCCTTTTGTTGGTTACGACTATTGTTTCGTCAACTCCTTTCAACCACATTGTTGATACCCCCAGTCCACTTACCAATATCGAGTTTGAACAACAATGCCCATTGAAGTATAGTTCAGGGAAGGCTGCCAAGGTCACGGAGTGGCGCCCATGGACGCAAGAGCCGGTATGTGTGGGCCCAAAGTCAAACAAGACACTACAACACTGCGCTTTCATCAAAGAAGACTTTCGGGGGAACAAAGGTCTTCTCGTAATCACAAGCCCAGAGGTTGCAGCCGGTCATGTCAGTCTCGTTGAGGATTTTGACACCCAATCGGCGAGTACTCAACCTTCACCTGATTCTGCCGACCCACTCCCCTTCCATGTTGAGACGATACCGGGTAAAGGTTTAGGAGCTGTCGCAAACATCCGCATCCGCGCGGGGGATGTCATCTTGAGGGAACACCCTGTCGTTGTGCAATTGGCGCAAGTATCTGAGCCGATTAGCTGGATGCAGGCTCTGTGGGTGTTAGAGGAGGGCTTCATTCGGCTGCCGAGAGAGGATCAGCAAAGAGTGTTTGAACTTTCTAGGAGCACCGGGGGCCATGTTCTGGAAGATATCATCCGAACAAACACATTTGGCGCAAATTTCAATAACGTTGCCCACCTTGGACTGTTTCCAAAGGTCGCGGTAGGTGATCAGCTTCTAGCATCTTGTTCCAGCTTTTCTGACACCAATCAGAGAATCAATCATGCTTGTAAGCCCAAGTACGCCTGCAACCTTCTCGAGACAACATAGGTAAAGATAGAGTGCTTACCAAAAGCTAGTGCAATAACCCGCTTCTCGCCCCGGACATTGGAACTAGAAATCGTGGCGTACAAAGACATCTTGCCGGGCGAGGAACTAAGCATCAGTTGTAAGAACCCTGAATCCGTCCCGCACAGCCATTTGAACAGGACTAATATCAGGAACGTACAGACTCGATGCTAAACATGCTGTACCAAGACCGGCAAAAGGCTCTTCAAGAGTGGGGTTTCAACTGCACCTGCGTGCTCTGTAGTTCCTCTCCCGAAGTGCTGGCCATCTCAGATGCTTACCGCAGACGGCTGTCGGAGATCTTCTCGGAGCTCGAGGACCCAGTCATCGCAGGCTCACCGTCTTTGGTGGCGGAGCTGATCGACGAGCTTGAAGATATCCTGGTGAAAGAAGAGTTGACGGCGCAGGCGGGCGAGTTCTATGGCATAGTTGCTGGGGTGTACCGTAACATGGGGGAGATGGAGTTAAGTAAGAAGTATGCAAAGTTGGCGGTGGAGAAGCTGGTGGTCTTTGCGGGGTACGACGACGAGAGGACGGTAAGGGCAAGGGAAGTTCTTCTGGAATTTGGGGGAACGCAACTCGGCACGGGGTAAAGGGTCGCGTTGGGGAAACGTTGGGGGCGGCGCGGTAGCTACACTCAAACGAGCACGCAGTTCACGGATCAACGGGGTATAAGTGGCGTGCGTTCTCTGGAACCGGGGGTTCATGTTCCTCAACTCGGAGGGGGTGATTCATTTACCTCACCCCCGTCATGGCCCATGGGGAAGGAAGGAGGAACGTGGCATGGCACTTTGCCTGGTCTGGGGAAGCGAGCATGTTGAAAGGTTGCGGAGAATTTTGTGGTGGAGGAGGATTACTCCGGTGCTGCGGGTTGGTCGACGGATTGACACGTTTTGGACCGGCTATGCGGCACCTTCGTTGATGAGATGGCGGCAGCGGGCCGGGGGTGATGGTTCATGTCATGTCTCGATTAGGTTGCGGGAGGATGTGTCCGCTGCAGCATCCCACTGGGGCATATTGTTTTCTAGATGGAAGAGGAACGTAATATCAGACCGTTTGAATGAGAAGTGTAGATGCGGGTCATTGGAGTTGAGGCTCTAGCTGGAGCCCATCTTGGCGATGCCAAGTGGCTTGGAACCACGGTTGCCAAGGTTTCTTGGCGTTCTTTTGTGAACGTCGACTTTCACCAGATGCTCAAAGACTGTTTTAACAGAACGTAACTAAACAAAGAGAAAAGACATTGAAATCTGATTGTGCAGGGATATGTGTGTGTGTTGCGACCTAAAAACTAAAGATATTGGTTGTGAATCAAACTCGCTCATAGAACAAATAATATGGCGATTGAGGTAAGGGCTGGGTCTTCAAATGACAGACAATGTTATTGTTTGACACACAAACATAGAGTCTGTTTAGCGAGAGTCACCGAGTGGTAAAGGTATTTAGTTCGCTAGTATCAGCAAACATCCTCTGCCTACCCAGAATTCAATTGCAATACATCAAGCAAAATTTCGGATACGACACACGAACTGATTGTCACGTTCGGATCTCACTCACATAGTAGCAGCTATAACCCTAACGAGGGAAATAAGAGAAAGATAACCACTACCAGTCATGTGCATCCAGTGGATTGCCTCCGCAAACTGCACCGGCGCCGTAGGCGGGAATACCCCGCGTGACGGATGCAAGGGCGCCCACGTCGCGGTGGTACGCCGCGAAGTCTGCTCATCGGCCCGCGGGCAGTGCTTGTGCTTCTTCGGCTCGTGTAAGAACATCGTCACGCTGTCCGCCGAGGACCAGGAAACCGTCAACGCGCCGTGCGAGGTTTGCGGCGTGGACATGGACCCGGAGCAGATGATGCTGCTGAGGATTTTTGACGACGCTTTTGCTGCTGAGTGGGCTGTCGCCTTTGGGGAGAGCCACTATGCGACATGCACCAAGGGTATGTGGAGGTCGTTGGTCAGAAGATGAGTAAAGTGGTGAGTCTCGTCGGCCGTGGGTGAGTAGTCTTGTACAGATTTCCCAGGGGAATGGCACAACGCGGAGAAAGGGCGAGACTTCGGCGCCAAGGATGGACTGTTACATGGCCGATGGCCCATGGGAGCGGTCACAAAGAAACTGCGCGGGGAGAGCATACAAATCAGGTTTCTGGGACCGTTGGTAAGTGCCCCTAGTAGCGTTGCAACCGTCGATCAGTCGGACTCGCTCTCTATTCTGCCCTCCGAAGCCGGTCTGAGTTTGAACGAAGGATCTCCAGTTCTTCACTAACATGGAAATTCTCAGGTAAAGGATTTGACCAATATACTTAGTGTAACTCAGGGAGAAAAAAAGTTCTTGTTGGCATGCCGCCGCGTGGGACGATCGTATGAGGTCTAATTTACCAAGACGTGAAATCCCCGCAAACCTGTAGGTTGCATGCTTGATCCTGGGTGGCTGGGAGTTGCCTGTTGGACTTCCTCCGCTTCCTTCGCCATGTGACGACCCTGACGGGTGGACTCCGTCCGCGTCGAGGTTGACAAGAAGCACCCTGTTATTGAGAATGTGCCATTTAAGAACATGGTGTGCGTCTCTGTCCTACATTGCCTGCTACTCTTTTGGTGTGTGTGGAAGCGTCAAGACCTCACGCGAGCTGTAAGTTGAGCGCTTAGATATTCCAACTCCAGTTTTCCCCATACCATCCCCATTGAAGGAAGCTTTCTCCGTGGGGTCTTTGGAGTTGAAGGGAGGCCCATGATCCATCAAAGGGACTTGGGGTTGATACCAAGACCGTGCCCTAGGACGAGGTTGGGAAACTTGGAATCTGGCCGAGATACCCTGGCGCTGTCGCCGGATCTTCCCCAAAGCTCACGAATCACTAGGCGTATCAAAGTATCACGGCGCAGATTATCGTTCCTCTGGTTGGCCAAGTACGGATATGTAAGCTTATTCTACGGGGTCAGAGTCACTACGAGATCCATCTTATTTGGCTAAAATGAGGGGAGGAGACGAAAAAATGGGCACCGAGCCGAGGGAGATGAAAGAGAAAGAGATCGAGAGTCACTGTGAGAGGAAAGAGAGAGGCGAATATCGTCGGTCGAACCCCGATGGGCCAGACCTTGTCGCAGGCTAATGTCTGCTCTTCTGCTGAATGGCTGAATTAGCCAGTCTCCGTTCGGGCTCTGGCTCTGGCGCTCTGCATCTTTTCACGTCTAAGTATCAATAAACCGGAGCAGACCGGGGTGCGATGACTCGATTCCCAAATGGCTTCGAGGCGCGGGCGCACTCCGTCTTCGCCCTCACGGAAGATGGCCGAGCGGCAGTTGATGGCCCCGTCGACTTAAGCCCGAAACGGTCCATTCGGGATCCACCGGCCGGCGGCGAGCTGCGAGCTGCGAGCTTGCGGAGTGCGAACCTGTCGGGTATCCAGTTCTTTACGCAAGGCAGCTTGCGTTAGCACTTTAGCCAGCGACGAAACAAGCACTTTGAGATATGGGGATGGGGGAAATCTTGCGTGTTTTTGTTGGGTTCCACGCGCGCAAACGGCCTTTTGGACATGGATCATGGGCCGATGATGGGGCTTTTGCGAGTGGTTTGTCTTGGATTCCATCTTCCCCCCTCCTCTTCGCAGGAGGCTTCGCTACCTCTGCGTAGACCGTGTCACCGTACTCCAGTCTTGTTCTCCATCTTCTTGGTCCCCTCTTCCTCCTGGAGCTCATCCGTTTGTCAGCAAGACTAGCGAGCATCGGCCGTCGACGAGTCATATCGCAGCCAATGTTTCTAGAAATCCTTGAGGAGGGTTGCAGTGCCAGAGTGGTGTGTTGCGGGGAAATGGTTGCTCGTCTGGACCATCTCATCTTCTCCAAACCCCAAAGCGCGGAGAATGCGGAGCCAACTCCTATATCAGCCAGGGGTAGCACGATAGCGCGCACACACAGAGAACAACGCAGTCAACGCACACACAGACTCATCCGTAGCCTAGGTAGGTAGTCAGGCAGTGCATCACTGCAGTCTGTCTCACAGTGAGAAGAGCCAAGAACACGCGAGCAGTCAGCCGGACCGCAACTTTGGATGCCGTTGGGTAAGGTACCTCAGTAAACCCTGCCGCCAGGCCCGACTTGGCCAGCTCTTCAGGTTCCTTCTTGGCAGAGCCCAGACGCCCAGCCGGGGGAGACATCACGTCACTTGGCGCTGGCTGATCGCCCTTGGTGAAAAGTCTTGGTTCCAATCCAGCGACGCGGGACAGCAGCCTGCCGGCGCAAACAAGACTTGAGGCGTATTTCTTGTCCCGACCACCACCATCAACGTTCGCGCGCGCCGTCGGTGCGCTATGGAACGAGCGGCGTAGCTCCGTCTGACGCTTTGGCTAATGATAGTGCAGTTTACGAAAACTTACTGCATGGAATGGCATGTAGGTGTGTTGCATTACGGAAACTTGCGGGAGCCTCTTGATCCCAACGCGTCGGTTGAGGCAAGTATAGGCTGCCTCGCTAGTCCAACGTATGTCGAAATATGAAAGCGAACGAGGGCGGCATGAAGACCGTGCTACCTATAGCCACGGTTATCCTTGAGCTAAATCAACCAGTCATCCGATGTCAAACAGTGGTTATCCTCGCTTTTTGAGGGGCAGGTGAACGCTTTTGAAATTTGAGTTTTGTATCAGCGTGTTTTCCGTTGATTCACTTTTTTCTTGGTCCCCTTTTTTCCTGCTTTTCCGTCAACTTTCACTTACATCAATTCGACTCGGCGGTTCTTCGCTGTGATTCAGATTGTGATATCTCGTCCCAGCAATGAGTAATTCATCAACACATTTTCCTTCCTTTTTCAGCATGCCGAAGATCCGAGAGGATAACGTGTACTCTGCCATTGCATTATCAAAGTGGATAATTAGATAGGTCCTATGCGGTGACACAGTTACAGGTGTGCCCGAGAAAAACTACGAAGGTGGACGAATGTCACAGTCAAGATGGACGATAGGCAGCGGCTCTTGTGAGTACGAGCTGGAAAGGCCACCGGAGATCTGACCGGCAATATCCTCGTCGCCTTTCTATCTTCCTTCTTCCCGCCTTCTCCCCCCCTCCTGGTCTTCCTAGTCTTCCTATGTTTCCTAGTCTCCCTAGTCTTCCCCAACCTACCCCAAACCCGCCCCCGGCGCGCGGTTGGCATGGCCGGATTTGGGCAAGCTGCCGCCCACTTCACGACCTTGTTCGACCGCCGCTGCTCGCCAGGTCTCCTCCCCACGCATCTCCATGTTCATCCCCATACTGGTACCCCCCATCTCAAGCCACCCTTGCTTAGTTTCGTAACAAGGACACCATCCGTTCATTCCTTCCCCTCGTAATTTTTTCACGATGGTGGAACGGAAGTTGAGCGATTGGCCAGTCGCCGGAGACCATCCATCCCGACATCCTCTACCCTTCTTTTCCCATGGGGTCGCATTGGCCGCTGGCTGTCATCTCTCTCTCTGGGGCGGGGACGGGGGAGATAGGTCGGGTTGGTCCACGCGAAGATGGGATCTAGTGTGATGTAGAACGAGGGAGGTATGGATCTACGTGTGCCCTACTCCTCCTTCTCTCCTCAGATCTAAGTATTAATAGGAACCACTCCTTTCCCTTCCTCGGGTTTCTTGTTCCTCAACCGTCGTGTTCATACCCCAAAGCCCACGCACCTCCTCCCACACCTTTCTTGTCCATCTTGAATATCCCGTGCGAGCAAATCAAATACCATCAACATGGCAGGCGGTGGTGTCAAAAAGCCCATCAACATCTTCAAGTTGGGCGACCTCGGTGAACCCGAGGGCGTCTTCAACTGGCGGCTATGGTTCGCTGTCATCTCCTTCGGCCTCATGGGCGCGGCCCGTGGTGTCGATGAGGGTCTCATCTCTGGCGCTTTCGGTTCCAAGGATTTCCAAAAGTTCATTCACTACGATCAATACAGCGCTGCCGAGAAGACCAACATCAAGGCCAACGTTTCTGCCATGGTTCAGCTCGGTTCCGTCGCTGGTGCTCTCTTGTAAGCTTGGCTACACTTTCCCTCTTCAAAGTCTCTTCGCAGAACTCTCTCTAACCGCTGATACCACGTACAGTGCCTTCGTCATTTGCGATAAGATCGGTCGTATCTGGGCTACCCGTCAACTTTGCGTCATCTGGATCATCGGTATTGCCATCTTCATGGCCAACAACGGACACCTCGGCGCCGTCTACGCTGGTCGATTCATCGCCGGTCTCGGTGTCGGCCAGACACCCGTCGTCGGTCCCGTCTACCTTGCCGAGATTGCCCCGGCCTCCGTCCGTGGTCTCTGCACCTGCGTCTTCACTGGCTTCGTCTACCTGGGTATCGTGCTCGCCTACTTCACAAACTACGGCTGCCAGATTCACCTCGGCGACACCACCCACAACCGCTGGCTCGTGCCCACCTCCCTGCACATCATGTTCGCTGGTATCATCTTCATCTTGACCTTCTTCCAATTCGAGTCGCCCCGCTTCCTCGTCAAGCAGGGTAAGATTGAGGAGGCCACCGAAACCATGGCTCACCTCCGTCACCTCCCCGTCGACCATGAGTACGTTACCCGTGAGATCTACGCCATCCAGCACTCTCACCAGGAAGAGCTCGAGGCCACCAAGGGTACCACCTGGTTCGGAAAGGTCAAGGAGCTCTTCCTCGTCCCCAGCAACTTGTACCGTCTCTACCTCACCACCATGGTCCAGTTCCTCTCCCAGTGGTCCGGCGCCGGCTCCATTACCCTCTACGCTCCCGATCTCTTCAAGATCCTCGGTATCGAGGGCCAGAACGAGTCCCTTCTCATTACCGCCGTCTTTGGTGTCGTCAAGCTCGTCGCTGCTGTCGGCTGTGCGCTGTTCCTGGTCGATGTCATCGGTCGCAAGCGCGCTCTGCTTACGGGTATCACTCTGCAAGCCATTGCCATGGTCTACATTGCTTCCTTCCTCACCCACGTGCCCAAGCTTGGTGTCGACGAGTCCTTTGAGCTCCCCTCCAACCTGGTCGGCGTCAGTAAGGGTGCCATCGCCATGATCTATGTCTCTGGCTTCGGTTGGGCTCTCGGCTGGAACTCCATGCAGTACCTCCTCACTGCTGAGCTGTTCCCCCTCCGTGTCCGCGCCCTCGCCACCTCATGGGCCATGACTCTTCACTTTGCCAACCAGTACGGCAACTCTCGTGCCGTCCCCAATATGCTGGCATCCACCTCCGTCGGTGGAATCTCGCCCATGGGTACCTTCTGGTCGTTCGCCGCCATCACCCTCATCGGTGGTGCCTGGGTTTGGTTCTTCGTTCCTGAGACTTCTGGCCGTGCTCTCGAGGATATGGATCGCCTCTTCGAGCTTCCCTGGTACAGAATTGGTCTCCACGGTAACGCTGATGCCGAGGCGAGAGATGTTGTCTACAACGAGAAGCAGGAGGCTGCTGAGGGTATCCAGGGAATGTCTGAGCATGCCGAGAAGAAGCCTGCCCAGGTCTAAAACAAAATGTGTATGAAAGAAGCCTGAGAGGTTTCCAATAGTTGAAAAGGGTATCTAATGAATGCAATATACCCAATAATGACATGAATACAATCCTACCCTTTCGAGGTTTGCCATTCAAATCAGATTTCTCTTCCACTGTGATAATGTATCCTTTCTAGTCAATATCGTGGTTATAGTTCATCACGTATTATGGCTTAGATCCAATCAACACTTGAACCTTCAAAATTTATCCCTGTTGATTTCATTTCACGGATAAGCTATTGAACGTTTGATCTGGGGCACGGATATATGCAGATTGATTGATAATCTTGATTAGATCCAGGGAGTGTCCTTGTCTCGTCTCAACCTCTGACGGTTAATGCTTGAACCTTCGGATGGTGGTGTAGAGGATTTGACGTAAAGTAAGGTGGGCACACACTCAGATTCTTGAAGCCGTCGCTGAGCGGATGATCTGTTGAATGAATCAATTAAGACGTCTTCCAAAACCTCAGACGCGCGCTACACGTGGCTGAGTCTGAGAAGAAATCTTATCTTGCCTGAGGTAACACGGCGAGCACAACAGGCCGGCTGTTGAAACAAACAAACACATATCGGAGGGTAGCTCCGAGTTCGTTTCAACCCGCTATTTGGGCATGGATGTACCCCACGTGCGATCGAATTTATCGCATTAGATACGATGTGCGATTCGGCGAATCTAGATCCAAATCCGGCGATCTAGTCTCGCTATCCGCGACTACGGAGCATTTACGGCATTGCACGGTAATAAAAGCCAGTGAATTGTGCTTCCAAAGACCAGCCTTAATAGGTTAGCATTGTCTCTCTCGATAGCCACAGGGAACGGATTGATGCCCATCGAACTGATGTGCAGAAAGCGGTTTTCTGTTGCCCCAAGAGCTGACGAGATTGCCACCATGGCCTCCCCGCCACGCTGCGCCTGTGGCGCAATTATCGTCCTCGACGCAGCCATAGCCATACACGAAAACGATCTGTTTTCTTTCAACAACAATGCACGCCAGGCCAAGAACGCGCCCATTGGCGTTGACAGCCGTCCTCTACTCGCCAAAGCTGAAGCGCCCACAAGCCCTTTGCCCGCCCTTTCCCACTTGAGCCGATCTTGAGGGATCGTCTTTGCCGCTGATGTGGTTTTTTGTTGACCGGCTTCTGGGTCTGGACTCAGTGTGCATCATCGAAAAGATGGTAGACACTAGCATTGTTTCCGTCGATTATGTAGATTCGTATAATAAACGAGAATCCCACGCTACCACGCATGCAATGTGGGATACCGACAATAGAGGTTTCAGAGTGCCCGATCAAAGACCACTGCGTTCTCTGGTGCGAACCAAGAGGGAAACCCTTGAGCTGCATCATGAAGGCTTCTTTCCTCCCCTTGCTCTTGGCCGGGCTAACAGGGGTGTCAGCCGCCTCCATTGCTGACGCTCCTCAGTGCGCTGTAAGCAGTATCCTACGAGTTTCCCACGAGTATCTCGTGGGCTTGGTGCGATCATACTAACCTTCTCTCGAGATATCCTGCGCTCTTTCGGCTCTTCCCCAATCACCTTGCACCATCTCGAATCAATCATGTCTTTGTGTCGATCCGACTTTCAACAGGCTTGTTGGCGACTGCGTCAAAGATGCGTGCACGATAAAGGAAGCATTGGGTAAGTATGTTGAATTTGCTAGTTGACGCTCGATCATGTGTTGGATTGTTGATGCTGATGCAATGATCTAGCTGTTACAAACTTGACGTGGTCGTCCTGCGGGTTTCCCCTGACTGATCGGACGAGTACGGCGCGATACACGACAATCTTTTTATTCATCCTACCGGTGGTTTTCATGGCAATCAGACTGTCGGCCAGGTTTATGCGTCTTGCGCCCTGGGGCGCAGAAGATACAGCGATATGTATCGCTTTTGTATGCGTGCCAATCCAACGTTCCAAGCGCGTTCAAGAATACAAGTCTGATACGGATATAGGCGTTTTTGATACCTTTTCCGCCGATCATCTTCACCAGTAAGTTCATCCGGTCAGCTTTGAGATGATTTGACTAACAACCTCGAATAGTGATGCGATATGGTTTAGGACGAGATATCTGGACATTGCAGCCGTATGAGATTACAATGTTTCTGAAAGTAAGAATCCCACACAGTCCCTAGAGTTCATCTGACAAGTCAACCCCAGCTCCTGTTCGTTCTCCAACTCTTTTACATCTCAGGACTGGCAGTCATAAAGGCATCGGTAATATACTTGTACATACGAGTCTTTAACATTCAAGGCTTCAGGACCCTTCTCTGGTGCACGCAGATTTTCAACTTTCTTCTCGGGGGAGGCTACATCTTGCTCAGCCTCGTTCAGTGCCAGCCATTCCAGCACTATTGGAACGGGTGGGATGGCGAGCAAGATGGCCACTGCGCAGATCTTAACACAATCGGCTTGACGCACGTAGCGTTTAACATTGCGCTCGACGTGTGGATGCTGATTTTACCGGCGACGCAACTGTATAAGCTTAACATGGAGCTCAAGAAGAAAATCGGCGTGATGGCGATGTTCAGTGTAGGCGTTTTGTGAGTCTTTTCGTTGATTCAACGTTGTTCGCATGCTCCAGTCTGACGACAGAAAAGCCTCACTTCAGTCAGCATTATACGGATCAAAAGTCTTCTGGTCTTTGCTACGAGCTTCAATATCACTGGTACGTGACACTATTGTTCTATGATTAAATGTCGAAGCTGACTTTTATACATAGCCGAGTGCCTTTGGGGTATTATTTGGTCCTATGTAGAGCTCTGCGTGGGGATCTTCGTTGCCTGCATGCCTGCCGCCCGACAGCTTGCGTGGAGGTTCTTCCCCAAACTTGTCAATTACACCCGGGAATCACTTACGGGGTCAAGTAAATCGAAGCGTGAGGTGCAGAACGAGGAACTCACACCTATCGCCAAGGGCAGACAGTCCTCAAAGTCAGGTACTTTATCGTCAAACATAACGCAATCGAACGCAGGGTCTGTCATGGACCCCAATACACCTCGGAGCGCAACGTTTGGTTATCCACAGTCAGATGATGTCATTATGGTTCATGAAAGAAAGGAATGAATTAATGTCATCGGGTGATCAAGAACCGGGGTTTTGTAATTACGAGTGTGTTTTATTAGACTTTATATCAGTTTGAATGCCCATTGAACATCACGCAATCATACTTGGTATGTCATCCACAATCAAGACAATTTCGAAAAGTCGCACATTCGTGTGGATGTCCTTTATTTACCGGAGAAATCATCTATAAACTACTGGCAAGTACCTAGGCACTTCATGCGCTTGGATCACGATACTTTCATTATCGCTCATGTTATTCGACTACATGGAAGGTTGATTGTGGGGTGCGTTCATCGACACAACTTACGCCTTATTGATCTTGCTACACTACGCAGTCCCTAGCTGGATGTAAACCATGTCCTTATACTTGTGCTTGAATTATGTCATTTTGATATGTTCACGTCGTTTATGTTTGCATCGCGGTGTCAACCTTGGATATGCGGCCCTGAGCTTGTGAGTAGAAGGCACATTGTCGAACCTCTGTGGGGACTTCGGTTCCGGGTTCGCTATGCTCTCATCTCGGAACTCAACCCATGGAAGACTCAGAATGCCATTAGTGACATTTGCACAACATAGCTTGAAGGTGAAAGCAACTCTGAAAAGCCAAACTGTTGTCATCAGGAGATCTAGTGCTACCACGGTTACTGACTGGTTGAGACACGAACAATGCTGCTACCACGGCAATGTCATCCCACCTTGAATCTTCTCGATCTCTATTGCCAACGTCTACTGAACTATTCTAATGAAAACTTTTTATTCTCCACCTCACTAAAAGCCAGGTGCGAGTTGTGCGGTGGGGTCGTCGCCCTCCATAATCATCGTGAGAGAGTCTTTGACCACAGCAACATCCCCGATAGTCTAGTGGTGAGGATATCTGCTTGTCATCGGGGAATTGTTCCCTGACGACGATTCGCAGGGGACCGGGGTTCAATTCCCCGTCGAGGAGTCTTTCTTTTGCTCTGCATCATTCATTTTTGAATTGTCGTGAAGAGAGGGTGTTGTTGATGGCACTGGTCGCTCCCCCGGTGAGCAGGATAGCCATACAGCGCAACTCTCCTGGAGAGAACCTTCTTGTTTTACACGTCAGCAGGGAAAGCCTTTCGGCCGGCAAGAAACTCTATAATGTGGTATTGAATTGCAGATGTGTATGGAAGGGGGAAGTTGGCGGGCGTAGCCTATGATTCCTCCGTTGGTAGTAATTAGGTGGGTGAAAGGGCCGTTCGCAGCGGCCCAGACCACCTTCTAAGTCTCCTTTTCTGCTGCCAATACTCCCATAAACCTAGTTAATGATCAATTATCCAACGTGTGAGTCAGTGTTGGTGCTGAGTGCAGCAAATCAGCCATAGTTATGCCCTGGAACGGATTACATCTAGAAAGTAAAGTTCGCTACTAAAGCACAGCCATGTTGATATCACAAAGTTACTTAGAAGGAATATATTGGCTGATGATCAGGATAGCACATTCTACCCCGGTACATGTACGAAGGAAGTAGTTTACAACATATAATCCACTTCAGTCTCAACAAGATGAACGAGTCACAGGAACTTCCCGAGTTCTCAATGCTATCGTAATCATGAAGCCTGAGTTCGTGGACAGTCTTTTCTTACCCAACCCTAGAGCGCCCATTTTCTATGTCTTTCCGCTGCGCAAGCACGAGTGGTAAGTTGAACTCATGATAGGAATACTGAAAAGAAAGCCTGTCTTTATCCAGCCTGCCAAGCATCGTTCGCTTTCACATCCGCGATGAATACCCGGTCTGACCTGCTGCCCCGGTTAATGAACACCTCCCGTCACTCAAAAAGTCCCTTGGACAACATGTGTATACCGTCGCAGTAAATATTGCAAAACCAAATTTGATAGTGAAGGTTTTCCTGGTGTTCCCCGTCGACATCATAATCAAGCTATCATGATTGACGAACAACGCTGTGATTACTTTCCTATCGTCTCTCGATGATTCGTTGGCTCTTGTCTGTCAAAATTCATTTTCATTAATGTACTGCTAACTGGCTTGCCATTATCTGAGCTCGATACACACTAACTCAACCACGTCATTATCTCGCCTGCTAAACACATCTCGCATCGCGATATCTCTCGTGCTTGGGAGGCTCCAAATATTCCTGCAGGCTCGAATCATGTTGATAATCGGCTTCTTCAATTATTAAAACGAGAGCATCCCCTCGATTCTTAGTGGCCGTGGTTTCCGTGAGATTGTCTTGACTGCCTCGACTGCCTGGATCGCCTCGAGTCTGCAGATGCAACCGAGTGATACGAGGCAAGGGACTTGTGGCAGTTGACGCCGCAGTCGTTATGATCCAACTTGTAATGATTGTTTTTGTGGTTTATCTCATCCTGCCTGGTGTTGTGCTCTCCTCTCGACGCCCTAGAGGACCTCTGAACCCCATAATCGTGGCCATTGTTATGGTGGTCATAGCCGTTGCCATTAGTATGGTAATTGTTGCCATGGTAATCATTATGATGAATATCATTATAGTTGCTAGGATGATGGTCCTTGGGATAGTAGGTGTTGGTCCTGATGGTCCTATCGTCATAATGCCCGTTGTTATGGTTATAACCGTTGCCGTTCACATGATAGTCCTTGGGATGCCAGTTGTTGTACTTGTCATCCTGGTGGTTGTAGTTATGATAGTCCTTCTCCCGAGCAATCCTTGAATCCTTGGAGGCCACGGAGCGGTACGAGGCTAGCGAATGTTTGCAGCCCGAGCCGCAATCGTGGTTGTCCTGCTTGACGAGGTTGTCCCTGTACTTCCAGTCATCCGCGGGTGTGTTGTGTTCGCCCCTCGAAGCGCGGGAAGATCTTTGGACTCCATAATTGTAGTCATGGTGGTCGTAGTTGTTGCTGTGGTAATTCGTGCTTCGGTCGTAGTATGGCCTGTGTTCTCTGGACACTTTGGAGCGGTATGAGTCGAGGGAGCGATGGCAGTCTACGCCGCAGTTGTTGGCGTCGAGCTTGGCTAGGTTGTCTCTGTACTTCCAGTCGTCTGCGGCGGTAACACCTCCAGCGTGGTAGTCTGGGTCAGTCCATGCAGCCTTAGATTCGCTTCTTGCTTGGATATGAGGCTCATCTCTGGCGTGGATCTCAGGTTTCAGGTCGAAGTTGTTAGGTAGAGCAGCTTCATCTCTGGCCTTGCTCTGAGGCTTGTCATTGAGTTGGACCTCGGGGTCTAAGTCATAGTTGTCGAGTGCAGCCTCATTCCTGGCTTTGATCTGAGGCTCTGCTCGGGCTTCAATCTCAGTCTCAAGATTGACGTTGTCCAGAGCGGCCTCATCTCTGGCTTGGATATGAGGGGCGTCTCGCGGTTGGGTCTGTGGCTCTAGGTCCCATGCCTCAGTCGCGGCCTCGTCTCTGGCTTGAATCTCAGGCTCTTGCTGCCAGTCAGACACATCAACATTGTTCTTTCCACGGGCCTCGATATTGGGCTCCGCATCGGCAGCTTCGGCGGCAGGGTCAGCCCTGAAGACATGAACTGGGGGATGAATGAGGCTGGGGAGCACTGCGACGGGTACTGCGGTTACACCGGCCGTTAATATGACCAAAGTGATGGTGAAGAGAAAGCGCATGTTGTAAATGTTGCGGGAAAAAGTGGTAAGATATAATTTGATCGCTTATGTGGGTATAAGGGTAGTTGATAAATAGGTGTGAGAGAGAGACTCATTGACCGGCCAAGGTTCAGTCAAGTTGGCTTGTAATACAGGCAGCACAGCTCATGACGAGAAGATATTGCCTGGCCTTTATACTTGTCACTGATAGACACCAGTGAGTATCAAGGGAGGAATACTCGCTTAGAACTCCTGAAAAGAGATACGATTAAGACTACCCGAGCCGGCTTCTGCATCTCAGCGTCAAAGTCTCGTTATCACTATCCTTCTCCGTCGGCCTCCTTCGGGATATGAGAAGAGCCGCTTAGAGAAGCTAGCGTAATCGTTGAGTCAACTTTTGAGGTTGTTGGCGCCGAGCTTGAGATTAAGCTAACATGATGGATTTCGCCTTTGACTTTTTCGAATGGTAATAGCATGGGTACAGTCATGCCGCCTATGAAAACCCAAGGATTGTCGGACACCAGGATGACATTCTGGTTGAGACCGGGTCTAGATGCGGCCTAGAGTTGAGGGGCAATCCAGGAACCGAATTGCTTATCGCCAGAAAGCAAGCTTCTGGTCCACGCAAGCATCGTGTGTAATTAAGGCCAGTCTGCATGCTGCGCATAACGGCAACAAGCTTACTTGATAGTGAATTGGAGGACGATGTCCAACTTTGCCCCTCCTCCTAGTAGTGGAGTTGGAGTCAAATTTGCCGTTTTCGCGCAGGAGTCGGTTCAGTCGAGGAGATATCCACGCGGACAAGGGAGCGTAGTGTGAAGCTTAGAACATGCCATTCGGATAGCTTCATGATTGGTACAATCCTCCTAATGTTCCAGACCTAGCTGAAGAACTCACTCTCGACATGGAGTAAACACTAATACGCGATACTTGGTGGAGACTTTTCACCGACCTTTTCACCGTAATTGGGAATATGTCGAGTGTCATTGATTCATGCAAAACGATCAGCCGCCAACTTTTCGATTCGGTTTGAAAACCATATAAAATCTTGCAGCGTAGAAAGACGAGCTTAAAGAAGACTTTTCTTGTAAGCTGTGGAAAAAGCCGCACCGTAAACGTAAACGCGTCCGGTCTACACCAGTTCATCTAAGTGATCCGAAGTACACTGTTTCAAATCGCATGTCGTTCATCAATGACATTTCCATGTTGTTGGGTTGACATTTTTGAGCTAGGGTTCCAGGGTGACGGATCTTTCTGCAGGTCATTGTCCCGGCACGGCGAAAGCTTCTTATATGTGGGTGTGTGGGTGCGAGATTTTGTGTGGCAGCCTCAACTGGTTGGTAATGGCCGCAGAGCCTCGATCTCCGACTACGTAGCATGCGAATATCTTGCTCCGAGTCGTGCGGACAGTTGCACAAGACTTCTTTTCAGAGTCCTCCTTGCGAATCAACTCACCTATACTGGAGTCGTGCTCATTATCATGTTCAACTAGACCAGTAGGATATTCCAGTTAGAATAGCCAGAATGTGCGATAGGAACCCAAGCTGCCCGACCTAGCTACTCCAGGATCATAGCTCCAACTCAAGAGAGCTTATCCAGGGTGTCAGCACGGATAGTGTCGATCATGATTGACGTTGCTGGGCTCACAGACACCGGACTTGTACACCTGGGCACGAAGACTTTGAACAGTGCAGGTGTAAGTTGGGCGTAACAGACCAGGCTTGCACATGGTACTTGGCTCTTCGGACGGTCTCGCCGGCTACTCAACGAAGCTACCCCGCGTTGCCCCTCTTTCCCAAGGGTGTTAAGAAGAAGTCTAAAAAAGGTTCCACCGACGAGGGGCTGCACGGGACGCCGGTGGAAATTGCCTGCCACGGCCCATGACATGGGAAACCCGCCTCGGCGTCGCTTTCGTTGTGGCCATGGGATGGTCACTCCGAGCATCATATGATTATTGATGGAGCATATAGTTTGGACGCGAGATAGTTCCCATTGTGAGTTCCGATAGGAGGGTATGAGAGGCTCAAGGAGTTGAGGGCGTAGTCTTCCAATCGCGGCGGCTCGGACATTAAAATCGGGTTAGCGGTTGAGGGGCTGCATGCACCCAGATCAAACCTTGATTCAACGGTGCGTCGTGAACATGAGGAGCGGCGAGACGCGTGTACGATCGTCGGTCCTTACTCATGGCGAAAGTTGAGGTCGGGGAACTTGGCTTGACTGAGATGCGGGACCGAGATGGCGGCGCCGCGGCGGGCAAGCGTGGGGGGTGGAATGCAGTTGCATTGCAGACATCTCCCGAGATCGACTGTCTGCCATGCCGTGAGCCAACTCCCTGGGCCTCAACAGCCTCAACTCTAGCCTTCAAGCTGTCAACGCCAAGTTGAGCACCCATAGTGCCAAGATGGGCCTCTTAACGTCAAGTCGTTTAGCCAAGTTAGCTGCACACTTTAAGGACTACAAATGCTCAGCTCTTGCCCCTAGAGTCCATATCGTTTTTGCTATGGGAGTTTCTCGTCTACAAACACGTCTAGTCTGACCTAGAGATCCCGCTCGCTCTACAGCAACAAGCTTCTACGACCTTACTCAGCGCAGAGAAAGTCCGTCTCAACATCATGCGCAAGCAGCCTTACATTGCCAGCCGGCGCCCCCAACTTTGTCCGTTCTCGATCAAAGCTTATTCTACCAGCTTCGAAAGTTTCCATCTGTTCCTCGATTTAAGAGGCCTCATCACCATCGACTCGACTGACGTCCAAGACGCTAGCTGGCGGGCGCTTGCAGAGAGTCTTTCCGAGCAGCCCAACCTCGGACGGGAAGTAAATGCGAGTATTCGAGAGAAGAAACCTAGAAGAGGGATGCATTCTAGCACTATCAACCATCACCACTTGGAGCGGAACATCCGGAACGATCACCTTCTTTTCGTTCCATGTCTTGCGGTCCTGGTCCATAGAACTTGCTCGAGCTGTCATGGGGTCCAAGCGATTACGCCGCCCACCCGACTGACCCCTCACGATCGTTTTTGCTTTAGGCAATGCACCTCGGATTCCGCTCCGGCTCGGGGTCATTGATCCCAAGTGTTATGGCAAGTAAGAGTCAATTGACACCTTTTGCCTATCATCGGGCTGTCTGTATGGCGGTCTCTGGAAAGTTCCGTAGAAGCTGCCAGGAACGAGTTTAAAGTCTTCCGAAATCAGGCTTTTGTTACCTCTGCGGGAAGTCTGATTGCTTACTGTTGCCGCCTAGAAAACGGATCACATATCTATAAAGCGGCAAAGCAAAAACAGCCTAATAGGTATTTGTGGACCCGCCGGAGGGCAAAGCTGGCCCGTGATTGCTCGCCGGATGGATACAAGAGAAACATCGTTGAAAACTCCGGCTTCCTAGGTATAACCGTAAGAGGAAGAAGGAACGGGAAAGGCGCAAAAGCAAAAAGGAAAGTCTCTCACGTCTAGGCGGAATCTAACCGCTGTAACTCCCCGAGGTGGGCTCGAACCACCAACCTCCAGATTAACAGTCTGACGCGCTAGCCAATTGTGCCATCGGGGATATGAGATATGATTGGATGATGGTTCTAGGGTTTGTAGGGCTACTAGTAGGAGGACTGCTCTCAACGCCGCGCTTGGCCCGAGCTTCTGCCCCAGCTCGCTCCTATCGCCATAGTGGTCGCGGTACAAGAGGCGTAGGTAGGCAGGAATGGAAAGAGAAAAAAAGGGGCGAAAAAGAGCGAACTTTTGAGGTGGATTTGCCCTAGCTCTTCAGATCGTCTCATGGGAAAAGTTCCGGATTGCGGAGATCTAAGATGTACGAGAAGTTACGCTTCGCACCAAACTCCCCCACTGGGAAGAGCCTTTCTTGATGAACAATTGTTAGTGGTTTTATCCAATTCACTAATCTCATGGATCTTGGTGATTTCCCCTCGAATGGAGGGCTGGATTCTAGAATAGCTATGTTGATGAGAAATCGAACTCGACCGTGTTTCTTACTCTCGTTCTACTTCGTGCATGATGTAGAAAAAGACGTAAAGGCTGCTCCTGGCTGGTCGATCATGGAGCGCACAAGGCTTCATATTACTATCAACCATGGTGGTTCTTTTGACTTGTCTCTGCGACTACGTCCAATTTCACGAGACTATCATCTTCACCATTGCAACCACCAAACTCCCACGGCAGCAGATTTGACCCGTGGATATCTCTTTCGCAGCCAAACTTGACATATGTTACAACGAGAACCTCTACATCTGCCAAGACCCTTCGTGCAGCTACGCCACCAATTTTCCACCACTGGCGTCAATTCCCCTCATCCCACGCTCAACCCCGCGTAGGTCATCACGCATCATGTCTTCGGGCTAATATCGCCCGCAGGCGATCATTCAAAACATCCTTCAAGAATGTGATCTCACCTTCCAAGTTGACTTTACATCAATCCATTTGAGCCATCTTTTCTCTCTCCCTCGCAACAATGTCACTCTCCGACCACGCGCAAAAGCTCACCAGCACGCTCGAGCAAGCCAAGCTCGTCCCGGGCTCAGCGGCGGTGCTGATACCAGAGGGGTTTAAGCCGACGATCAAGCTCGAGGTCTCGTTCGCGGATAAGGCCGTCGATGTGGGCAACTTCTTCCGCGCGGGCGAGTGCAAGCTTGCACCCAGCATCTCGTTCGCGGCCGAGGAGGGAGCCGAATCCGGTGCCTCGTACACCCTCTTCCTGACAGACCCGGACGCGCCCACCCCGGACAACCCGCAGTTTGCGTTCTGGCGCCATTGGGTCCTACCCGGGCTGCAGCCGCTCAGTGGGGGCGCGGTCGTTGCGCAGACGAAGCCGGCGTTGACTGAGTTTCTCGGACCCGGACCCAAGGACGAGTGAGTCGACAGACATTCTCAATGATTTGGGCAGCCTTTAAAAGTGACCTTGCTGACTCTGCCTTACCTTGTAGCTCAAAGCCACACAGGTACCTCTTTCTGCTCTACCGGGAACCCCAAGGACTGGATCTCAAGAAGGAGGATGTCGGCGGAGAGGAATTTGTTCAGAGGCGTTCATGGAAGCCTGCTGAGTTCGCGGATAAGCATGGTCTGAAGCTCGTTGGAGTGAACTGGATGACCTGCGCTGGCGATGGCTGGACAGAGTGAGGCACGATGGCCGGTTTGTCTGGCAGATGCAGCTAGGGAGTCCAACCCCAAGGCAAGCTGAGCCAGTGAAGGGTCATCACGAGACTGTACCACCCTTCAAGCTACCTGGACCGAAGCTTCACGTCCCCAGCTGCTCGAATGGCGGTATTCAAACCTCGCTGGTCGTTCACGACACGGCAGTGGGCTGCCATGGACGGCGAGATTCGGCGGCAACGTCATCGAGAATCATCGTGAAGCTGGTCCTATAGTCTAGTTGGTTAGGACGTCGGATTCTGATTGAAATATGATTAGATCCTTCCGTAGGCCCAGGTTCGAATCCTGGTAGGACCTGAATCTTTTGCTCTCTGCTCATAACTTTCCTTTTGCTGATCATGCGGATACTGGGACCGAAGTCGAAGCTCCATGATGCGTCTCTTGGAAGTTGTAGATGTTCAGTGTTAGAGTTTGCCGTTGGTTAATATGCTGTCCATAACAAAAACCACGTCTTGCGTGCATCTTGGATTGTAGTGGTCTGTGCCTGAGCTGCGGCGCTTCAGGGCCCTGACTGTCCGCTGCGATCTGAATTGCAGCGAACGCGTCCCTGAATCGACGCTAATTATTCGCCATTCACCCGTCAAATGTACCTGAAGTGAAATTCGGACCACTTTACTCCACGACGCGTCTTCTCGTCGCGTCTCCCAAATATCACCATGATTCAACGTCGTCTAGTCCGTCGACAAAGTTCACTCGCAGCAGCCAGGAGGATCTTGGCGCAAGTCGACAGCGAGCCAGATGTAGAAACCAAGAAGCCGACGTCTAGATCACGCTCGGTAGCCACCAAAAAGTGTGCACCTGTATCACCCCCGGCATCCAAGGACGCGTCAGAAGAAGACTTCAACCCAACTCTTCAAGACGACGACGGCGACGATGTGAAGGACGTTATTGAGCCGCCGCCAAAGAGGCGCAAGGTCGAGAAGAACCCCAAAGCTCGAAAAGCAGACACCGCAAAACTCCATGCGCGTCTCTTTGGTCCACCCCAGCAGCAGCCGGCGACGCAGGATGCCTGCTGCTCGCCCGCCGCAACGAGGGCGCATGCCACCTCGTACCACCGCCCTCTCCTCCTAGATGGCCAACCCGGCCGGTGCGGGCGCGATGCTCTCCTCGGCTGGTTCGACTCCATCAGCACAACCCGCGGCATGCCCTGGCGCAAACCCTGGATCAACCCTGCAAAGACTTCGCCAAACGACGCCGCCGACCTCCGCAGCGCCCTCGAAAAGCGCGCCTACGAAGTCTGGATCAGCGAAATCATGCTCCAGCAGACCCGCGTCGCCGTGGTGATCGACTATTGGAACAGATGGATGGCCCGCTGGCCCACGATCCACGACCTCGCGGCCGCCGAGCCCGAGGACGTGCTGAGCGCCTGGCGCGGGCTGGGCTACTACAGCCGCGCCACGAGGATCCACGAGGCCGCAAAGCTGGTCGTCGCGGACCCGGCCTGGCGGGGTTTGATGCCCTCCGACACGGCCGAGCTCGAGGCCAAAGTCCCGGGCGTGGGTCGGTACACGGCCGGTGCCGTCGCTGCTATTGTGTTTGGTGAGGCGGCGCCCATGGTTGATGGGAATGTGCTTCGCGTGCTGAGCAGGCAGTTAGGGCTGTATGGGAATGCCAAGACGGACAAGGCTGTCATTGATTTGCTCTGGGCAGCTGCGGATGCGCTCGTCAAGGCCGTTGCGAAGGATGGGTCTAACGAAGATGACGCTGAGCTTTCTGAGAAGGCGCCGCTGAGTGATCGTCCTGGACGGTGGGGCCAGGCCTTGATGGAACTTGGAAGCACCGTCTGCACGCCAAAGCCAAACTGCGGCGAGTGTCCAGTCACCTCTACGTGCCGAGCGTACGCAGAGGGCCGTCAAATAGCAGCCAAGAAGTCGAGGAAGGCGGCTGAAAAGGTCGAGGACATTGAGGATCTATGCTCGATTTGCGAACCCTTTGAAGAAGCCGCAGACGAGACCACGCTTTCTGAGGAAGATTCCGAAGCTGAGTCGCTCAAGCGGAAGCCGGCAAAGGGGGCTAAGAAGGGCGTAAAGACGCAACCGGGGCCAAAGCAGGCGACGTTATCCGCCTTCTTCACCTCAAAGACAGCCAAAAAGAAGGAGGAAGAGGAGGAAGCGCAGCCCAAGGTTGCACAAATCGATGCAAGAACACTAGAAATCGTCGCGGAACACGCTCGAAAGTTCCCCCTCAAGGTGGTCAAGAAAGCGGTTAGAGAGGAAGAGGCCCTGGTCTGCGCAGTTCGGTGCAGCGACGACGGGCGATTCCTAATACACAGGCGCCCGGAGAAGGGACTCCTCGCCGGTCTGTGGGAGTTACCCAGCCACACGCTGCCGTCTACTAGCGGCAACACCGCGACGTCGCGGAAGAAGGACGCTCAAGGATATGTATCGGGACTCATCAACGGTGTTGGAAACAAGAAGTGGAAGCTGAAACATGCCGGGGAGCTGGGCAGTGTGCCGTGGTTGTTTTCTCACCTGAAGCTTACGATGCATGTGCATCTCTTCGAGGTAGCTTGCTCTGAAGACCTCGTCTCGTCGCACGCGCGACACCGATGGGCTACGGTTGAGGAGATTGATGAGGAGTCTATGGGGACTGGGATGCGCAAGTCCTGGGCCTTGGTGAGGGAGAGGTACGAGTAGTGTATGAATGGATTGGTCCGCGTCATGCGCCGGCAGCCATGTAACCAGCATAAATTTCCAGATGGGCCATTAAACCTTACCTTGTTTGAAGGTTCTTCATCTTAGGTAACTACGATTTGGGGAATTGCATGAGATGTGACTCTGCTTAGTTGCACCTAGGGAATGGCGGGTTTCTAGCGCGTATCAATTCCGTCCCTATCCAAGCAGCCAGAACACTGTCCCCAAGTGTGACGAACCTTCTTGAGCCAGAACAATGGAACGCGTCCTACTTCGTGCCTCATTGTTGATCTCGATAATTGTTTCGAAGAATAAGACAGTGAACGAACGTGGAAACCTAGACCTGGCGGCCTCTTGCTTTTGCATCCCTCGGCACGGCATTGGTCAATAAAGTAAGTACTGCCCAGTAGATTGCTGCTCAGTTCCCGGGTGACTTCACCAGAGGCCACTCGGCGGCTGTCCTCATCGAGTGCGAGCGAACCGGTGCTGTAGAATGGGGAAATATCTGATATTGCTCGTAGATATCCATACTTTCGCATACAGATCTTCCAGTGATCTTACCATCCTTGAGGAAACATTAAACCTATCCCACCTAATGTTGAGACATAGTTCATGGTCTACCTTGGCCATCTGATGACAACCATGGCAACATGAAAAAGGACCATTAAAGTTCAGGCCATATGGTCAGTATATGTTTACCAATATGCTATATGCTCTCAAAGACTACGTGGAATCAATAGCATCATGCCAGCTCACAAGTGGGCAACGACATCCTCTTGCGCCACTGATTGTTGAAACCCAGGAAACCCTGCAGAGACCTCTTCATCAACGAACTTTAGATACGGTCGCAGCCCGCCAAAGAAGAAGTTAGTGTTGGTCTTCTTCCCGGGAATGTTCTGGCTCAAAATCCAACTGGGAGTCTTGGCGAATAGAGACCCCTTCAGCATGCTATCACACAGCTCTACCCAGTCTGATTCGGCTTGCCCCTTGGCCTCCATGATCATCCGCCTCCTTTGGCTACGTGTATGGACTGCTTCTTTGTCCAAGCTATCAACCCCCTCGCCTTCTTTTGGCTCTGCTTCTGAAGGCGAGCCTTCGGCGTACTGTATAATCGACATGATGAAGTTGACCTCTAACTCCACGATGGGGGGGAAATTGGCGAAAGGGCTCTGAGGCCCAGAAACGAGAAACATGTTGGGGAAGCCAGCGCAAGCAACGGCGCCGAAGGTCGTAGCTCCATCACCCCAATGGTCTTTTAACGTGCCATTTCGACCCGTCACATGGATCCTCGTGTAGCTGCCGTCGACTGCCTCGAATCCCGTGGCGAAAATGAGCACATCAACCTCATGAACGGTCCCGTCGGCCAACTCAACCCCTTGAGGAACCAGACGTCTGATGCCGTTCGCCTGGAGGTCCACCACGTCAACGTTATCGCGGTTGAAGATTTGGTAGTATCCAAAATCGCAGAGCGGTCGTCTCGCATACGCCTCCCGAGGTTTCAAAATCTGCGCTTTACGAGGGTCTTTGACAATCTCGTCGATTTTGCCGCGTATGAAGTCACAGGCGGCCTCGTTAGCTTCTTCGTTGGTGACGATGTCGCCAAAGGCGCTGAACATGAAGCGGAACCCGTTTCCCTGGGACCAGACTTCCTCAAAGGCCTGCTTTCTCTCTTCGGGCGTCGCGTCGGTCGCTTTGCGGGTTACTTCTGGGACCCCGAATCCCATTCTCGAGGACCAGACGTTATCCCAGATCTTGTCGTAGTTTGCGTTGATGTTCTGTCGATAGCTGGGGTCGACTGGCCCCTGGCCACTGGGTACCGAGTATTGTGCTCGTCGTTGGAAGAGAGTGAGTTGACCCACGATAGGTGCGATTGCTGTTATAACTTGCACGCCGGTGGAACCGCTCCCGATTGTGCCGACTCTCTTTCCCTTTAGGTCGATGGTATCATCCCACTTTGCTGTATGACACGCGGTACCCTGGTAATCTTTCAAGCCGGGAATGTCTGGATAATTCGCCTTGGAAAGTACGCCAAGCGAGTTGATGAGGTATCGAGCATGATACACGATTCTTTCGGAGCTGGTCCCTATCGAGAAGCACTCGATCCGCCAGCGATGTAGACTGTCGTCCCACGTCGCCGACTGCATCTGACAGTTGAACGACATGTACTTTCGCAAGTCGTGCTTCGCCACAACATGTTCTAGATATTTCAGGATCTCGGGCTGGTAGACGTAATGGTGCGACCAGGGGTACGTTTGCAGATCGTCCTTGTCCCAGGAGTAACGATACAGGTAGCTTTCTGTATCGCTCATGGCACCGGGATATCTATTCCAGTAC